TATATATATATATATATATATATATATATATATATATACCTCCTCCCCTATTTGACCTGCTTTGACTCGCATCAGCTACAAAGCATCCATATATCCGCTCTCATCCCATTGCCTCTCTCTCTTTATCTTCTCTTGTCTTTGCGTCTCATTATATGACCCGAATCTCTTCCTTCGGGTGCTAGTTGTGAAGGAAGGCAGGAGATGGGTCTCAAACCTCTCAGTCTCCAAATGATCCCGTGGTGCTTCCACGTAGCAGGCGCCACATGTCACTCCTCCTCCTCCTGGTTTGACGAGGACGACACTGCCGCCGACTCGCCGAAGCCCTCCGTTCGCGTCGTGAGCCCCGACGGCCGCATCAGGCTCTACCATCGATGGGTCTCGGCGGCGGAGCTCATGGCCGCCCACCCCTTTCACCTCCTCTGCCTCTCCGACTCCTTCGTCATCGGCGAGCCCATCGCCTCCCTCTCCCCCGACGACCGCCTACTCCCGGGCCACACCTACTTCCTCCTCCCCTCCCACTTCTTCCACTCCGCCCTCTCCTTCGCCTCCCTCGCCGCCTGCTTCGGCGACCATAAGCGGAGTGGCGTCGCCAAGCTCCTGCAGCCCATCGAGATCCACAAGACGGCTGCCGGCAAGCTCCAGGTCCGCGTGTCCGACGAGTACCTGGAGCGCCTGAGGAGGGCGGAGGAGGAGGCGGCGGCGGCGGAGAGGAGAGGGCAGCGAGTGTGCACCACGGAGGAGTTGGCGAAGGATTACAAGCAGTTGGTGAGGTGCCGCTCCTGGAAGCCGAAGCTGGAAACCATCAAGGAGTCGGAGAGGAGGAGGAGGAGTAGCGCTGGTGCCGCTTTTGGTAGGATCGGCAGAAGGAAGAAGTGTGGCCACCTCAAGAACAACCGCAACAAGCAAGTCTGATACAATCACATCGCATTCCTTCCCTTGTAATCCATTACACCTCCAAATTAATATATATAGTGCCTTGTACATTTCGGTGTAACATTATCTTATCAAAATGCGTTGGGTCTTAAGAAGCACGGCCATCGATTTATTCACCATGAAGACCGGAAGACTTATATGCCTTTGTCGACTGTTGCATACATACTCTCTTTGGGTCTGGAGGTCATGAAAAGAGGAAAACATAGTATGAAGCAACCTCTTTGTCCATTAGTTTAATGTTAAATTCATGGATCTAGGAGTAGATCTTGCCGCAGAGAGAGTCCTTGATTCAGGCCCTCGTTCACTCTCTAACTTCTCTTCATGGGAAAGGAATGGGGAAAGCCGGGGGATGTTGTCGTCCTTGCGACGAGAGCTCGGGTCTTCGTCAAAGCATCCGGCATGGGCTGGTGGAAAGGATTTGGATGTCAGCTGACAACTGTGAGTTTGTATGAAGGCTGCAGGCATTGGTTGGCGGAAAGGATTTGGTGTCAGCCGAGAAGTGAGTGTTCACAAAGGCAAAGAAGTGCTGTCATTGGTGAAGCACAGTGAAGGCTGCCATCCTCTCTCTCTCTCTCTCTCTCTCTCCGTCTTCATCGCGCTCGTCCGACTGTGTTGTCACCGCATGCACGCGCGCGCCGCAGAAGCGGACGAAAGAGAGGTCAAATCGTCATCCCTTCGCCCCTCATTCATTCCCGGCACGTGCGACGAGTCTTTTAATTTACACGCATGTCCCATGGACTTTAGTTGGCATGGACGCAAAGACCACAAGAGCGGTCTATGTCGCCCGTGGGAACGGCCGCAATCGAGAGGCCGAACAGCACGTGCGAGGGAGAATTAAGTCTATCAACACGTGCACGGCGGCGTATCAAGTCGATTCATCGAGGGACCTCCGCGGAGGCACGGAACTCTCTTTTTCTTTGGTGTTTTTTTGACTTGGGAGGCCTTCGAACACGTTATGTAGAAGCCAAATTGGAGGATGCTTCACTTTGTTCATTTCTCATTTATTAGATTGACTTCCACCCGTCAATGCATTGCTACTATAATTTCCCTGCACTATTATTATTATGAAAAAATATTAGAGATATATTTGGCTTTAATATATCTTTTTAACTCAAATTAGTCTATGTTAATGATGATTAGTCATGGCTACCATTAGCTTATTTCTAAGGGAAAATATGCCATTTCCTGCTGAATTGTCGTGCCAGAACTTAAAAGAGTATATACATCTTTAATCTCTGTGCAAAATATACAAAGGCCAAATTACACACTGTAATTTTTCTCGGTCAAAATAGATAGGCAACTATTTCTACGTCCTTTTCCAGATCTAGTCGAGCTCGATCTTTTGCTGAGGTCCTCAGAGCTCTTTGCATTCCAGTCTCTCACGTCCTAAAAGCTAAACTCCGGCATCTCTCGATACATCTCGAGTGACTCCTTCTTCTCCAACCTCATCTGCCGATGGAACCTCCTGATGAACACATCAGCAGCGTGGTCAACATCATCCTCGAGGCTGATCTCTGAGCCATTCCCTTTGGAGTCATCATCTTCATCCTCCTCCTCATCATGATCATCAAAGAAAGAGTGCATCAAGTCATCATAATTATCGTCTTCGGCAGACTCCACCAACTCAGTGCGATGAGGACTCGAGAACACCTCTTCGTTTGCTGCATCAAACAGCGCAATCGCACGGCCACCGGTACCTCCACCGATCCGGTGGCCCAGCAGCGACTGGATGTTGTCTGACACTGCACTCAGCAGCACCTTCTTGCTCCGAAGCAGCCTGAAGACGGTGAGTCTGGTTCTCGTGGCGATAGCTTTGTTCTTAAGCGCCATGGACTTGCTTTTCACGGTCGCTGCGAGCACGGTGGCTATGTGCTTAAGGAGAGTGGCAGCCCCGTTCTTCATCTTGATGGAAGGAGGACTGGCTGCGCTCCGAGAAGCAAAAGAAGATGGAAGTAGCAGCTTCAGGAGAAATGGAGAGACGATGTGCTTTGGCATTCCGAGGAGCATTCGTTGCAAGAGAGCTGGATCAAACTTGTTGGTTGCTGGTTTGCCATGGGCCTTGTCATGTTGGATTCGATGCATCATTTATAGTGGTGCTTCAGCAGCTTTAGGAGGGAGTTGTGGCAGCAATAATCAAGAATCAGTGGAGTAGCCACTAAGAAAAGCTAAACTAAAGTTGAAGGAAAAGATACGAGGGAAAGTAACCAATACTTACATCAATACCAGGAACTAAAATTAGGTATGGAGGACACATGGTCCTTTGTGATGGGTTGCATTCTTGTGGTGGCAAATTCCTACACCTGGGAGCAAAAGAGAGCTTCTTCTCACCACTCCTCTGTACATGATGATCATTTGCCTGTCGTGGGGTTTCCTAGCTCTCTACTTTTGCTTTCTTGCCTTTTTGTTGTTCCTGTACTCCTTTTAAGGTGTGCAGATTTTTCAGAACAAGTTTGCTTCCGATGGAAAGCTGTATACAGTTTGCAACTTCATTTCTCATTCTCTTCCATGATTATAGATCCCAAGTTTTAGGTCAGAATTGGAGTCAAGCCAGCTTGATATGGAGGGTAGATGAGAAAACAGACTATGCAACCTCTGAATGTTGTTTTCTCATCAAAAAGCTATATGAGAGAACAGATTGTTATGTGCAACCTCTGAATGTTGTTTATCGTAAAGTGGGGAGATAAAATAATCGCCACCCCCACATGAATCACGTTGACGTCGAGTTGAAGAACTTGTCTTCGTTCTCAACATCCAAGTGGAGCACTTAGTGCAAACACAACACTTTGGCATGGCAATTAATCGACGTCTAACTGGTAGATAGACATGACTCTATGAATGTAAAGTAATTTTCCAGACAAAATTACTAACACGATAGTTTATTTATATGAACCTTTTGATGTATCCAAATGGATGATGATACCAAGGCACAAGGATGAAGGTTGGCTCGAGAAGAAGAGAAGGAAGAACTGGTGGTTGTTTTATAGATTTGGAACCCTCCTATTTTGTGGAAGATGATGATAATTTGAGAAACTATATAGGATGGATAATCAAGGATTTTATTGAACCATATTAGGTCGATTCAAGTAAAATAATATGACCATGTAATGAAAATAAAATCATTTGATAGAATGATGAAGGGTAATACAATGGCATCATATGTAAAAAGTAAATAGTCAAGACTCCTTGTGGTAAATAAACTACTATTTAGCAAAAATAAAAAATAAAATTAACTAAACCATTTGTTTTATATTTTTATTGCATAATTTTAATATAAAACATTTAAAGAGAAAGTCAAATTCTCAAAGTTAATATAAAATTATATTAAGATCTCACAAATATCACCTAAAGTTCATTTGTAAATGGTTTAAACAAAAAAATAAAAAATAAACTCATTTTTTGGAGCAATTACACTTTTTTTTTAACATCGTGTAAAAATAATGTAATATCTTGAATGCATTGTATGAAATAGCTATGTTAACAATTTATATTGAGGATTATTATGAATTAAACAATTAAATTATAATATTTTTTAAATTTTAGTGCAAATAATATTTGCACTATTAGATTTGCCAAATACTTCAAAAATAATGCTTAACTCTATTAGAGTATAAAAAAAATATCACATATACTTATTTTAAAAATAGTTTAGCTTATACATTATTGGAATTTTTATTTATTTATTTTAAGAATGATTACATCGTTTAATATAATGCAATTGAAAAACAGTGCAATGATATTAATGTCTTTTTTAGTTTGTCACAAATGTATTTGACCAGTAATATCATTTCTATCTAAATAAAAATTAGTGACAAATTCAAGTAGTGGGTTTTTGGATGAGGATATTATCCTTTAGCAAAAACGAAACTATGGTTTTTCTTGTAAAGGTACCTTTACTTGGGAACATCTCTCTCTCTCTCTCTCTCTCTCTCTCTCTCTGTTATAGTTTCTCATATTGAAAGCTTCTATTTTTATTTTCTTGAATATAGAGTATATATATATTTTCTTGAAGAGAAAAAAAAAGGTGATGGGCCCCCTTTTCATCGTTTGGGCTCCATTTGGGTCCCTTTTTATTTTTCGCTTTTTAGTGAAACTAACCTGATGCAAAAATACATCAATCAATTTTTAGGGACAAGAAAAAGCTGTGATCAAGAAAAAAAGATAAATAATGCTAGAAATATTCGGTAGTCAGAGTCTTTAAATGCAAATGATAATTAAATTATTAGAGAATTTTATGGGAAGAAAATAATTTAAAAGCATTACCACTACATGACAGGGTTAAAAAGAGAGGCCTTCCAATCTGAGCCGTCGATAAATGCTCGAATTTATTCATAGAAATAATACACTTTTTGCCTGCCACACACGTGTCTTATCAGGTGTGGCCCCGCCTCTCCTCGCCCACCGCCTCGTCTTCCGCGCGGCCCCACTTTCTTGATCCAATAACCAAAAGGGTCGATCAGGCGAGTAAGTGAAAGGAGGGCAGAGAAATGGACATCTTCCCTGACATAATTGGTGGGTCCAAGACGCCTCCCGCCCATCGTCGTCGCCGTCTTGGAAGGGGGTATTCTGGCGGTAAAAATAATAGTAGAAATTCGTTTCTTGACCACGCGTCGGAGGATGATTGGCCAAAGCATGATAGCATGGTCCGGCATGGCGCGCATGCTCCCAATCACATCACATGCATCTCTGTTTTCCCGCGCTAAAACGGAGGGCGATCCCTCCGATTATAAAAGGAGGCGAGAGAATGGGAGGGAAACAAAGGGGAAGAGCGAGACAGAGATTGAGATCAGAAGAGAGATAAAGCAGGGTTTTGTGAGTCTCCTTTCCCAAAACCCTAGCCCCGTCTCCGCCTCGATCCACCGCCGTTGCCGCGCTTTCCCGGCTGGATCTGGCGATCTCCGGTGGGCTCCGCGTCCTGGATCGAGAGACTCGAGTTCAGAAGGAAGTGATTTTGGCGGAGATCTTTTGGTTTCTATAAGTCCTCCTTTCTTTGGACCTCTCTCTGTTCCGAGATTTTGAGAGTTGAGATGGTTTGTCGATTAGGGTTTCGCAGTGTAGGGTTTTGAATTGATGAGATCTACTGCTGCTTCGGGGATGGAGGACATGAAGCCATCGATTGCTTCACTCGCAGATGACGACGGCACTATGGAAGCTCGGTTTGCTGATCTCTGCAAGGTTTGGTTGAGTCGTGTTACATTTGTTTGTTTCATGTGTTGTTCCTTGATCTGTTGTATTATAATCTGTAATTTCCCTGCTTTCTATTTGTGAGTAGAGCAAGCTGAGTCTCGATGAGAGCACGTTGAGGCAGGCAATGGTTTTATTCAGGGAAAGTAGGCACGTTCTCGTGGCAAATATGTCGGCAATTGGAAGTGGATTGGTAATGCATCTTCTTTTAGACTTTTATCCGGGGTTCGTTTGGACCAAGATGGAGTTTCAAAATTGATGCTTTTGCTCTTTGTTCCCAAGCCTGAGGAGATCGAGAGGTTATGGTCTGCATTCATTCTGTACTGTGTCACAAAGCTGAGCAAGGCGAGATCTAAGCAAGAGAAGGAAGAAAATAGTGTTTCGCTCTGTCAGATATTGAGAGCATTTAAGCTGAAGTTAGCTTTCTTTTTCTTCCTCAACATTCTTGTTGCACCGTTTCTTGGGTTTGTTTGACTGAATTTCTGTTTTGTATTTGTAGTGTTGTGGAGTTCTTTAAAGAAATGCCACAGTTTTGTCTCAAGGCTGGTTACATTCTAAGTGGTTTATATGGTTCGGAATGGGAGAAAAAGCTTGAGGTACTGGAAAAATCAGTTATCAATAGTTATTAACTCCACAAACCAACTCATTATTGACTCCTGCCTATTTTTCTCTCTGATTAGCTAAAGGAGTTACAAGCAAACATTGTTCACTTGAGTCTTCTAAGCAGGTATTTGTTGTCACTTTGTTGATTTGTTTAACAACCTACTGCTACTAGGTTGTCCAGTCAAGTGTTCCGAGACTGAACTGTTGAAATATCATTTTCTGTGCAACAAGGAAGATGGATTCCTTTTGCACTCATTCTACAGATGGATTAATGTTGTCATACTATTGGAAAATTTTGCATGCTGAAGGACCAACACTAGGATCAGAATGACAAATCTTTGCAATGAGAGTTTCACTGTAATCTAATTGTATTCCCTACTTTATCAGTTGGTATAGTTTGCACAAGGCTGCACAGTTTTACATAGGCTTGTGCGGTATATATCAGAAAAATGGCTTGTGCGGTATATATCAGAAAAATTTAAGGCTATTACTTTGCTAAAATCATCACTTGCCAACATAAGATGTTGAATCCAATCTAATCCTGTTAAAACACTTAGGAGGAAGCTGATTCTTTTATAAACCATAGGAATTATAAATGCATCTCTTTACAAGTTCCAAAATTATGCTCTCATTGCCAAATGAATCCCCAGCTTGGTTGAGAGCAATAGTGCTATCAGAGCATTGCATGTCTCTTTTCATTGTGTGCCAAAACAAAGTAAGGATATATAAATGAAAGTTGAAGTCATGATGACCCATTTTGTTCTTCCTCAACTATCATTGTTCATAGGCCTATATATTGTCAGTTTGTTGATTGGTAATTAAATAATTTATGCATAGTTGTGTTTGCGAGGAATGAAGAACTTGAGAGTCTACAAATGAAAAACATCAGCTGATGGATCGTACATTGAGGAAGCCTAAACTTCTCATTGTTAGAGGGAGGACACAGCTTGTTATGTTGATATTCATTTGTTGACACTATATTAGATGTATACAGTAGGATCAGTTTCTATACTATTAAGTGATGAAGATTTTGTTTTGAGATAAAGTTAGGACTTTTTGGTCCAGTCTTAACGCTCCATATAGTTTGCACCTTACCAATGTTAATTAAATAAACTATATGCAAGCTTCGACAACAGTGTTTCATTTTAGGATTCAGCATTTAATCTGGAACTTGAGTTTTTTCTTATTTATTTTTATTGGCTTTTTTTCTGTAACTCGAAAGAAGTCTGATTCACCTATCAGAAACCAGTAATAAATACAGAATATGGATTTTTTTTAATATGGCAATTTGTAGCTCCATGTTCCTTATATAAGTTGCTAAAATCTGACCCTAATATTAGATTTTCCTTCCAAGGATATCCTCCCTGCCCTTTCTTTTTCATGTCTAACTGCATGGTTGTGAAAGTTTTGGATTATTATCATGTCTAACTTAATTAAGCTCAATTACCAGTTCAAATGGAAGTATTTAAGCATAAACATTTAATGCCTGACATGGTTAAAGAACCCATTTGTGAAATGTTGAACGGGTTTGAACTGAATTTGTGGTTTTTTTACATTGTGCTATAATTGTCGTTGTTGATTGTAATTACTTTTTTTTTGGGTATAACTAAGTTTGTCATGATGGTCCTGAACATGCGCTTCATCAGGTACTATAAACGGGCATACGAGGAACTGTTCTTGCAAAATGATGCAAAAAGCAGTCAGGATTCAGCAGTGTCTTGTGCTAAGGATTATGTTTCTGACTGCCATCGATTTGGATGGTTGTTATTTCTAGCTCTCCGCATCCATGCATTCAGTCGCTTCAAGGATCTAGTGACTTGCACTAATGGATTGGTTTCCATACTGGTTAGTCTTTGCAGTGTCTTTTTTTCTCTTTTCCCCTATATAGTTAGATGCATATATTATCCATGTTAGGCGGTAGACCTTGCATAAAAGATGCTCTAGGGAACTGAAACACCAACATGTGGAAAAGGAGTCAGATGCTCACCGTCCAGCTGCCTGGATGGTGCATTAGTCTCTGTAATGTTACCTCACTAGGCATATAGCTTAAATTATCTGTTATGTTATTGTCAATGGAACCATTTGACTTAATTTTCAAGTTACTCATTGTCATTATTCTTTTATAGGCTGTACTTATCCTTCATGTTCCTGTCCGCTTTAGGAAATTCGTTGTTCAAGATTCCCCAATTTTTGGTACTGACATTTTATTTCATCTCTAACTTTGATGCTGGTCTTTTAAATTTCATTTCCCATATTCATGTTGTTAATACATGACAGTTAATATGGTTACCATACTTTTTTCAGCTAAAAAATCAGGCAAGGGCGTCAACCTTCTAGCTTCTCTCTGTGACAAATATGATGCATCGGAGGACGAATTAAGAAGAGTGATGGAAATGGTAAATAGCTTGATAGTGAATATTTTGAAGAAAAATCCATGCTCACTTTTGGATGGCAAAAAGGAAAATCTAGCTCACATTGACACAGGTTTTAAGTCAACTTTATGTTCCCTGTTTTATGCCGTCTAAATAATTGTGTCGGAAGAAATTAATCATTATCATTTGTTTTATAGATGGTCTGACATATTTTGAAGATCTCATGGAGGAAAAATCATTACAGTCAAGTATAGTTATCTTGGAGAAAGATTATGATGATGCAATTCTTAAAGGTGAACTAGATGAGCGTATGTTTGTTAACGATGATGACAGTCTTCTTGGCAGTGGAAGTTTGTCTGGAGGTGCTGTTAACATTTGTGGAACAAAGGTAAAGATGTAACCTTGAAAATTATGTCCATTCCTTGGTCTTGGGTCTTCCCTTCCATTGATGTATGTTATGTAAATGTAGCGGAAGTATGATGCGATAACTTCCCCAGCAAAGTCTATCACAAGTCCAATGTCTCCACCATGTTCTCCTGGATCACCATTAAAAGGAGGTCTTATTGGGATCTTTAAGATAGCTCCCGCTACACCAGTTAGCACTGCAATGACTACTGCAAAATGGCTTCGAAGCATTATATCTCCTCTTCCTTCAAGGCCTTCATCAGAGCTTCTCCGATTCCTTTCATCTTGTGACAGAGATGTAACCAGTGATGTCATTCAAAGGGCCAGCATAATACTTGGAGCCATTTTTCCATGCACCTCTTTTGGGGAGCGGTGTGTTTCGGTAAGTATGCAAAATGCTGCTCGGATGGATAGTATTTGGGCTGAGCAGAGAAAGTCAGAGGCGCTTAAGTTATACTACAGGGTTTTGGAGGCAATGTGTAGAGCAGAGTCTCAGATACTGAATGGAATCAACCTTACTTCTTTGTTATCAAATGAACGGTTTCATCGCTGCATGCTTGCTTGTTCAGCTGAACTGGTTTTGACTACACATAAAACAGTTACTTTGATGTTTCCTGCTGTTCTGGAGAGAACTGGCATAACTGCTTTCGATTTGAGCAAGGTCATAGAAAGTTTTGTTCGTCATGAAGAAACTCTTCCACGTGAGTTAAAAAGACATTTAAATTCATTGGAAGAGAGGCTATTAGAAAGCATGGCATGGGAAAAAGGTTCATCAATGTACAATACCTTGATAGTAGCAAGACCAACTCTCTCTGCAGAAATAAATCGTTTAGGACTGTTAGCAGAACCAATGCCCTCTCTTGATGCTATTGCTGGGAGCTATAATGTTTCTGCTGCAGGCTTGCCTCTGCCTTTTCAAAAGCAGGAACATTCACCAGGTATACAAGATAGCCACTTGTTAATGGTTAAATTCTATTATTTCCTATTGAAGTGCCCTGAAGTATTTTCTTTGTTGAAGGAAAATTCATTATACTGGTTGGTTTCCAAATGGTATTTTGACTCTGCAGGTTTACCAGAGTTGATCCAAAACTAGCAAAGTGACATTCGTAGGAGGACAAGCATATACTTTATATAATCATTAGATCACAATGCTAAACCCTTTATCTATTCTTACTTTTGTAATTTGCATTTCTGTTGCATAATTCCTTTTGACATCGCAAAGTTTAGTCGATGACCATTGAATATATCAGATTTTTTGCTTTACATTTATGCTTTATATATTGCTATCAACACATGAGACTTCTTTTATTTAACTTAAGCAAAGCTGTATGTCAATTTCTGAATGTCAATGTGACATTAAACACATTGAATTCACTTATAATTTCCTGATATAAGCAAGATTACACTATATTTCTATTAAGGACTTGAAACTAAGAATCTTTATCATCTCCATTTAGTTAATATCTTCTTTTCGGAAAATTATGCATTACATTTTCATGATCACCATATTTTTGTGATTTAGGCCTCTGTAAACCACTTCTGTTCCAATATTTAAGTTTTTTTCCTTTTCTTTGCATTGCCTAACTATTGTCAAGATTCTCTTCTCTTGTGCATATCTCAAATCCATAGCCACTGGATGAGCATCTTGTTTAAATGTTCCACCAATTCCTTGGAAACACTTTTTCCCTTTACTCAATTATATCTCATCAATGGCGATTCCATTATTGCTGAGTACTGAACTGAATTGCTGTTGCCTGACTAATTTTTTACAGATCAAAATGGAGATACCATATCTCCTAAGAAAGCATGCAATGACTATCGAAATGTGTTAGTGGAGCGCAATTTCCTAGCATCACCAGTTAAGGATCGTGCATTTAACAGTCCTAAATCTAAATTACCTCCTCTTCAGTCTGCTTTTGCCAGGTTGATGCCTTTTTTTTTAATTTGAAAATTTCATTATTATCAAAATCCTGATGAGATTTGGATCTGAAATCTATCCACAGTCCAACCAGGCCCAGTCCCACTGGAGGAGGGGAAACTTGTGCTGAAACAGGAACCAACATTTTCTTTAATAAGGTAAAGCTTGAGTCTTGTGTAAATAGTGATAGATATATGAATTGATGCTCAGACCACTGAGGTGACTCATCTGTTTTTCTAATTATGTTATTTTCCTGTGTTCTTTATAGATTGTGAAACTGGCAGCTATCAGAATCAAAAGCTTGAGCGAATGGCTTCAGCTATCTCAGCAAATATTGGAGCGTGTGTATTGTCTCATTCAACAGATTCTCACTCATAGAACTGCTCTTTTTTTCAATCGACATATCGATCAATTAATCCTTTGTAGCTTTTATGGGGTTGCTAAGGTATATTTTTTATGCTTAGAAGTTCCTCATTTATTGCTTGTGACAGTCACTTCATGGTTATGTTTTCATCCACAGATTTCTCAACTCAGCCTAACGTTTAAGGAGATCATTTATAACTACAGAAAGCAACCTCAATGTAAACCTCAAGTTTTTCGCAGTGTTTTTGTTCACTGGCCATCGACAAGCCGAAATGGAGTAATAATTTTGAATTTTCTTCTCTTTAAACTGAAGCCTTGTATTCTCTCATGCTGACATTATATGCAAACAGAAAACAGGAGAGGAGCATGTTGATATCATTACCTTTTACAATGAGGTATTCATTCCCTCAGTTAAGCCCTTATTGGTGGAATTAGGACCTGGTGGTGTGAATAATAGAAGTAACCGATCTCCTGAAGACAAGATTAGTTCTGACTGTAGGTTAATGTTTTTTTATTCTAATACTATGTTGCATATAATATTGCATGTGGTTTTTGAATTAATATCTTTTCCCGATGAAACAGGCCAAATTCCAGGATCACCTAGGATACCGCCATTTCCAAATCTTCCAGACATGTCTCCAAAGAAAGTTTCTGCTGTTCATAATGTTTATGTTTCTCCTCTGCGATCGACAAAGGTATGTAGTTTTGTTCAATCATCATGTCAGTTTCATTGTTATCCACTGAAGAGTAGTCATGTTAGTTCACTTTTTAGTGAGAAACCTTGTTGCTTCAGAGGCTAGACATGATTTCTAGAAATTTATCTTGATATTTTTTGAATTGAACATATTGATTGAAATTAGCAATCAAGTTCTTTTAGCTTCAATTGGAGCAAAAGGATTTGGAAGAACAGAAACAGAGAAACAGTGTACTTTTTAATAAAGTTTTTACTCATTCATTCCACTAGGATGTCTCCACAGAGACATTAGAGAGAAATAAAGTCTATTTAAGCAGAGAAAAAGAAGAGATGCAGCTTAAAAAAGACATTGATTGCATCCACTTGGCAGCAACACATTCTCTTTTTAGTTAGATTAAATATGTTTCCTTATTTTTCCTACTATAGGAACCTTATGATGAAAATAAAAGGAAATATATAGCCAATGAGATCTATATCTGACACTATGTAGTTTCAGTTTAATCTTATGTGACTCTAGAAGGCCAATTGCCTGCCCTTTTTAGTAGCCACTTCCAGATACTGTCCTAACCTTGCAGAGGCAGGGGCATGTAGCCTTATAGTAACCGACACTATGCAGTCTCTCAGTTTAATCTTATTTGACCCTAAAAGGCCAATTGCCTGCCCTTTTTAATAGCCACACTTCCAGATACTGTCTTAACATTGCAGGGGCATGTAGCCTTATAGTAACCATAAAATAAGCTCTACCAAAATGGAAGTAAATTGCTATGTCAACTGTCTTTCATGCCAATCTGGTGACTAATGTTTTTTTTATGAATTTATGATATTAACAATCATCATCTGTAGCATTTATCTTATACAGATTCAAAACCGAAAAGAAAATAGTCTACATTTGAAGAAGCTTGTTGCATGATGAACATGTCAATCCTTTGAGCTAATCCTATTCCTGCTAAGATATGAACAAGTTTCATCAGAGAGCAACCATCCGTAGTTTATTAAGTGGCTGCAAATAAGTATGAAATCACTTGGCGAGCATATTTTCTTTGTTGAAATCACTAGAAGAGTTCGTATCCAACACTAGCTGAAATGAGCAATTTTATGTGAAATAAGAGGAAGGTTAAAGGAAAGAACTAACTTTTTGGGAAAAAAAAATTATTGCCCTGGATAGAGTTGAACAACTGGAAATAGTTCACGATTCTTCATTTCCTGATGTGTGCTGTCTTAATGCTACTGATCTTTGTTGCTAACTGCATAGCAATTCTAAAATAAAATGTCTTTTATTCCACCTTTGTGATAGAGCGAGTTGAAAGACCCCCTACCTCTATTAAAACAATAGTTAGATTCCATCGCCAGGGTCCAGATTCTAGAGCCAGAATTTCCATATGACCTTTGCGTGGACTTGCATCGCTTTCCAGTTGTCTCTGAAAAATGTCTCGAGGCTTTTTCCAAGTTATAAGACGTCATCTTGCTGAAGTCCTGAAGGTTAAGCAGGGGTGAACTTGCAACTCATTTATGAGGGAAAGAAAACCCTAGTATATCCGTCACTGTACATCATTCTCATGAAGAAGTTGCAAATCAGGTTTCATGTACTAACACCTGTGCAGACAGTACTAATTGTGTAAACTTGAATCAATCCTAAAGAAGTTTGCTTGTATGCCTGAAGGATGGTTATTGCAGATTGAAGATACTAGTCAAATCTGAACAGAGCTACACGCTGCCATCAATCTTTCACCCTTCTGTCTTGTTTTTTATGTTTCTTCTGTTGCATAGGCTCTTTTTTTAATGTCACTCCCATCAAAAGAAGTCTTGGAAATGAGGATAGCTTTCATGTGCTTTTGACAACTAGGTTGATATATATATATATATATATATATATATATATATATATATATATATATATATATATATATATATATATATGCTTCTCACTTATTTATGCTAAAGCCATATTCAATATTTCCAGATGGATACTTTGCTTTCACCAAGCTCCAAGAGTTACTATGCATGTGTTGGCGAAAGCACTCATGCTTATCAGAGCCCCTCAAAAGATCTGTCAGCCATCAATAACCGTCTAAATGGGTATCTAAACTTGTTTTAAATGCTTGTGTTGCATTTTCAGCAATATTGTAACTCCTATGGTGTGCTTTATAAATTTCTGCAGTGGAAGGAAGGTCAGTGGCAGGCTTAATTTTGATGTGGTGAGTGATTTTGTCGTAGCTGGTACTCTCCAGGATGGCAATTCTGCCTCTTCAAGCACTGCTGCTCCTACCACAACAAGTGTTGCAAAAGCTGAGCAACCTGAGCCCTAATTGCTTAATGTAATTTACTAACTAATTTATTCTAACCTGCCATTTTCTGATGTTCTTACTTCATATGCCTTATCCCTACATGAGATTTCTTGGGGGTCTGATGCGAGCAGTAGAATGCTGTAGAATAAAACAATGCGGTGCCCCTGAAGCCCCCATTTGCTGAATATTTTGTTTTTGAATCTGTGGCACTCTCATCCGCCTTAATAAGTCTATGCCTGCTGCTGAGTGGTGTTCATATGATCAGGGTAAATGAATCCTGTTGATTTTGCAAAGCTCGGAATTGCTTCATCTGTGGGCTCTACAAACTAGAATATATTAGGTCAGTTTTATCCCTAGCAGTGCAGACATTACTGTTTTGTTGTCTTTCATAGTTAAAAGCTATTTTATCATTGTGTCCTCATCTCCTTCTTAGTTGAAATCATCTCATCTCATCATCTTATCCTTTTCTAGTACATTATTACTGCAGCATTGAATGTTTATTTAGATTGGTTATGTGATTTTGTTTTGTGTCAGATTTGAACCTGGATTTGCTATAGAAATCCCGAGTACCCAGTCTTGTTCGAAGGATGCATGAACCCATTTAATAGTAATTGCCAGCCACTAGATGTACAGTTGTTCCTGTATCAGTCGTTGGATTGACAGTGAGATTGTACTGAGAAGATAGCTTGGCCAATCGAGCCGCTACATCTATACACTAAGCTATGCATTTCATTATTAAATTCTTATCGTTTCTGTTACATGATGTTAGATAACAATTGTTTGCATTTATAAATGACTAACCCTAGTCGTGATTGAGGTTGAAATAGGACAAACAAGTCACGGTGGGCTTCACATTGTTCAGAAAGGACCTATAATAAATCGGTTACATAAGACCCGAGTCAATTCAAAATGCTGATACGAGCGAGCAGCTCTTTGGTGGGAAAAGCTCCTCCGTCGACTAAATCTTAGTACATGGGTTAATGATTAGCTTCTTGATTCGATGAATGGGGACAGATTATTTTTGCGATGGCTTCTTCCTGGCAGGTCGACCAGCATTGGCGATGGCTGTGGTTGTTAAGGTCATAAAGATGGTAGCTGCTGAGGTACCTGGCAATTTCACACGATCTCGGATCCGAACACATCTAGTTTTAAGTGGGCTGAATAGGCACGAATATTAAAAAAATAAAAATTCAACCGACTATCATCATCTAACAATCTTGTGATAAAACTGTTTAGGTCTTTAATAACGCCACTGATGATTGATTCTTTCCACATCATCTCCTACAATTCTTAAACGAGTCATGTAGTGAGTGTCTTATATTTATCTCGATCACGTAAAAAACTATGAGAGTTATCTACGTTGTTGGATACAAATATCTGCAATTCTTAAAGTACTGAAGAAAGAAACCTGCAACCATTTGTTAATTTAGTCTCTGAATTTTTGTCCTTTTCAATAAAAATTAAACTGCGATTCGAATTTTATCATGTATGTATGTATGTATGTATGTATCTCATTGATCCCAATCGTATCAAACAAAAGAGAACATGTTAGTAGCGATCTCTGATGAGATCATCGATCTTAAGACGCCATTTCTGAGCCGTGATTAATGTCAACTCGATTTCAGTTCCAAATCATGTCTGACGTGACATCCATCTACAGAAAAATAAATAGAGATAGTAGTAATGGAGAAATTTGCTAGATAGACGATTTCCAAATAAATCATGTAGATGTCCCAACGGGTTTTCAATTCAAGCATCATATTATGAGTTATGAACTTATCTAATTAATGGTAGGCACTTTGTCACGAAAACAGGAAAAAAAAATAAATCGTATCATATCATATCATAGCATTAACGATGGCGTCTTAAATCAATCAAGTGCATGCATGATCCAAGTGGAGTTCCGATGACCACAAATTTGAAGGAGAATCATCGGCTAAGGTAGAGCCACGGAATCGTAACGTAAAGACAGTTGCCATCTTCCCACCCGTTCCACATTGCAAATCAAAATCGTGGTATAGAACGTTTGAACCACTTTATAGTGGTTAGGGAGTCCATCAAATCGGATTTGTATTTGATGCCCACCCACAGCCACAGCCCCCTTTTAAGCATCGTGACTTGACCTCTCTAACTTGTCTCTCTCGATATGCCCGTCACAAGAAACATTAATGCCGAAAGAAGGGTGCATCAGCGTTGACGATGACTCCATCCTGCTATTTGGGCCACGAATTGAAACTAAATTACCCTTAGAAATCGGAGTCATATTTATGATGAAATTGAAATTGTCGATGATGATGATGATGATGATGATGATGATGATGTTTCCACGATCTAAAATCATATATGAAAAAAAAATTTAAGATTATATATAATAATGATTCTTATCACAGTATGTAAACTGCAATATAATAATATAATAAAAATCAATCACAAAAATAAGAAATAGTTTTTTTAGGTTTATGGATTATTATTATATATAGTCTAATCGAATTCAATTCCCATCTAACCAAATGCGATTCAAAATGATTTTTTTGAGCGTTTCTGTCCCCTACACCAGCGATGATCACTCCCTCATGCATGGTGAGATTACTACACCCATCGCTTGTCAACTCGTACAGGTATAGTTGTCCATCGGCTTTTGCCCACGTTTGGACTTTCTTGGTGGATTCGGAGTACTCGGGAAGAACAAACCTAATCAATGACTGACCTGCCGACACCAATAAGATTAGAGAGGGATTGATAACTTATTTTTAAAATTCTCGAGTCCACAAGGATTTTTAAATATTAAAATGATTCAAAAATATTTTCTACAAATTTAAAATTTTATTATTTTATAAATATCTTTAGGATTTAATATGAGTGATATCTCTTGTATTTTTCTCAAGCGTTTTAAGAGATATTTGAAAAAATAGTTAAGATTATCGTTGAAGGTGTTAAGAGGAAGGAGAAAAACTACACGTGAAGCCAACGATAATGGACAACAAAGAAGTGAAAATTTGAAAGATATTTTTATTATATTAAATATCTAATATCTACTGGGATAAGTGAATGCTAGAATCCTTACGGATTCTAAGTTTGAGATTGATCTTTTTAAAGGATCGATCTCCTTAGAACCCTATAAGAGTTCCTTCCTCAATGTTGCTACTCAAATATTATTAAAAAATTTATCTATTTCTCGTCAAAAGATGATGAATACATAACTATTTATAGGGTTTCTAAATCCTAACTCTTAATATGACTTCTCGTCAAAAAAAACTCGTACTTTTGATCAACTCTCAATATTTTTATAAGAAGCAATCTTCAAATTAATCCTATCCCGATCTCTTCACATCTTTAATAGGAGTCACATCTTTAATACGAGTCAGTTAGATAGATTTTATATGAATGTCTCTCTCAATGAAACTTAATAAGTGATACCGAGTAATGATTAAAACATACAAATTTTACGGGTAAATCACCCAAATAAAGAAGAGTTCAAAATATATACATTACACACAGAGAGAGAGGGAGCATTGAAGGCTGCTTCAGTCGGTCAAGAAAGAAGATTGCATTAAAGGCTTCTTTGGCCAATCTAGTTGGGCAGCACGTCATCTTTAACACGTGGCTTCTCCAATTATGCATCACGTCATCTTTAAGCGCTTGCTCTTTCCATGTTGCTGCCACACCGCATGCACCTCATGCTTTGCTATCTATATATATGTGTGTATATACTGTCGAAACCTCTGCATCCGAACACCACAAGAGGTTTCCAGAGAAAGAAGCCCAAAAAAAAAGAATGGAGGCTGAGCAGCTTAAGACTCCAGTCTGTGGTGGCGACGACAACGTCAATAACAGTGAGAAGGAGAAGACAAAGACGGCGCTGATGAGGGCCTTCGTCGAGCGTCGAGATCCAGATGCCAAGGTATCATACTTTTTTCTCTCTCCTTGTCTCGATGATCCTGGTGGTGCCTTCCTTTCATGCGTCACCGGTTTCCGGTTCTCATCACCACCACCGATTCTGCCAGCCACTTACGACTGGTTTCAGAACACCTTTGTCGGTGAAAAGACTAGATAGATGACGAGAGACCGTAGTAAAGATGGTTGGAAGGAACATAAGAGTCGAGGAAATTAGACTGCGGACCAGAGGAGGAAGAAGAAGACGATTCTGAAAGAACAAAGCCAATATCCTCCTCACCCGACCGTAAATGCAAATGATAATAGTAGTTATCAGCATTAATTACGGTGAATGGCTTGCGTTTTTCAGGGGTATCCAACGGATTAGATCCGAAATCTTTCATATGTAGACGCACTTATTGCGAACGCTTTCCGTGCGGAGCTTTTTGGCATTATGTTAGGAATCTCTACTTGCCATTGCTTTGGTAGTTGGTTCCACCTAAAGGTGCGACTATCAACATAATTGTGTTGGTTGAGTGTTAGAAATCAGATAGACATGTCCGTCGCATCTTGCAGCTCGCACTGTGACTGACTGTCTTCGTTGCCGAAGACTAAACCGACATCAAAACTTCGGTGCATCATTTGTGTTCGAGCATCTATTCGGATGGAAATTGTATTTACTTGCTTGGTTGCTACGCGCAGGAGGTAGACAACCTGACGCTCAGAAGGTTCTTGCGCGCACGCGACCTGGACATCGAGAAGGCCTCTGCCATGTTCTTGAAGTATCTCAAGTGGAAGAAGACCGCTGTGCCGAATGGTTTCGTCTCAGAGACGGATATCCAGAATGAGCTCGCTCAGACGAAGGTTTTCATGCAAGGGCGTGACAAGGCAGGCCGCCCGATAGGGGTCGTCTTCGGTGCAAAACATTTCTACTCCACACGAGAGATGGACGAATTCAAACGTAAGTAGTAATTCGATTATGGAACAAACTTACAAGATATCAGAAAGACTATGCTTTCACGATCGATGAGACGAGTATCTCACGCGTGCTTCGGTTTGCTTGAAATCTCTCAGGTTTCGTGGTTTACGTCCTTGACAAACTGTGCGCCAGGTAATTTTCCCATGTCATACAGTACTATCGCGCTGTGTCTGCAGATAAAAGACTGATGTGAGTTCGAATCGGAGAAGTTTTCGACTCGCATAGGCTTTCTGGAGAGAGCTCGACATCTGACCGAAAGCCCTGCAACATCATACACGTTCTTGCCTACTAAAAACAGAGTGTTTTCATGCTCGATGATTGCCGAATTTGATCCATCTGACGATGGCCATAATTGTTTGCAGTATGCCTGGTGGTCAAGAGAAGTTCGTCGGCATCGTGGATCTGCAAGGATGGGGTTACTCCAATTGCGACATCAGGGGATACATCGCAGCTCTTGACATCATGCAGGTCGGTCTCACGATTGCTGCAATTACTCCTCCTCGCATCGAAATCCATATCTGCACTGACATTTCATATGAAAGATTTCCTGAAAATTATGTATATGATCCTCATCTCTTCGTATAAATCAAGCAATATGGTTATGTTTTTGAGTTGCCATCCGCAGAACTACTATCCGGAGAGGCTAGGCAAGGCTTATATGGTCCACGTACCGTATCTTTTCATGAAGGCGTGGAAGATCATATACCCATTCATCGACAACAACACCAGGAAAAAGGTGATCTAATTCCATTGTTCATTCGAGCATCGTGTTGGATACTTGTATAACGACGCTATTGCTTGAGTGTAGTATGCATGCTCTTAAAGTTTGTGTGATGATGAACTGCAGATTGTGTTCGTGGAGAACAAGAACCTGAAAGCTACTCTGATGAAGGACATCGAGGAGAGCCAGATTCCACAGACGTACGGCGGAGAACTGCCTCTGATTCCCATCGAGAAGTCAACGATGTAGGTCGTCGGAGTCGTCAACTCGAGCTCTCGTGATGATTCCAAGTCTACAGCGCACTGCAAACTGCTTCGGTTTCAGCAAAATAACCCGAGATGTCAATTTCTTTTCCAAACAAACTTCAGATTAATGTCAAGAACGCGTCGTCCATCTAATTTGCATCACTTTTATTTTGGATTTGGGGATCATGGCTTTTCCAACGAATCTAACCAGTTGACCCTCTCATGGATTTGCCAAGAAAACACGTAGCTTGCCCCTAGAGGCAAGCGAATAAGCTTCTTTAAGAACATACGCAAAGCACCTTTTAGACATACAAAATGCAACTTTTACTTGTCTGTTGGCTTAAAACAACAGACAAGATTCGACCAACTATAAATAATAGAGAAGAGCAATTCACTTTGGAAAACATGAAGCGACGAAGAACATCAAGACGATTTCTTACCTATTTCGATACATTAACATGTTTATGCCAAACTCGCATTTACCAAAACCTGTTCAGATCAGTAACAAGATAATATCGGGGGCCAAATCTTGATTGAATAGTTTGATCCGAACGATACGCCTCACAAATTCAACGACTTGGAAGGCTGATCGAATCTCGAACGCTATGACCTAAATAAACAAAAAAGTCATAAACCGAAGACGAATAATTTCTTAGCTTTAGTTTATCAAAGCATTCAGTGCAAAACCAGAGTAGAGAACGACATTTTCGACAAGGAGACTGGCAGTGAATCCTTCTCTTCCATTACGATTTTCTTCTTTGATAGTATATATCTATGTTTTTACTATTTTTAATTTATTTTATTATCATGATTTTTTACCCTAAAAAAAGATTAAAAAAAAAAGAGTGACCAGACATCTTACATGATTTTTTTTGAAATAAAAAGATTTTATTTGTTAATCGAGATTATCAATATCCCCAAATATTACATCCTTACTCTCCAAGTGAGAAGGGATATAAGTGTGTGTATATATATGTATGTATATATGTATATAACTATAAATATAAATATAAATATAAATATACATATATATATATACATATATATATATATACATATATATATATATACATATATATATATATATATATATATATATATACATATATATATATATATATATACATATGTACATATATATATATATGTTGAAAAGACATATATATATATATACTTTGAAAAGACAGTCAATAAATAAAGCCCAGTTCGCGGCTCTCCATTTCCGGTTCCCGCTCTCCCGGCTGTAGTTTGCCCGACTGCCACCTTTGGCACGTATGGTGTGTGACGTAGACACACACACACAAACCTGACGGTCTCCCGAGGCTCAACCCCTTTCTAGCTATTTCCCCCTCCCCTCTTACTCTGTTGCGCCAATCCAAATTAATCGAATTCTTCCTCTTCTCGAATTATCCCTCTCGATCCAATTCCCCTCTTCCGTTCGATTCACCGTATAGTTCGCTCCATCGATTCAGACGTTGGATTTTCTTTTGATTCATACTGAAACCCTAGCTCGATTTGTCGTTACGAGGTGAGAGATCACTTTTACGTTTATTTTCATTTTTTTACCTTGTAATGGATCTTAAATTGCTGGTGTTCAGATGGTCGGCGACGCGGGGGAGTGCGTCCCGGTGGCTCTGTCGGTGGCGCCGACGGTGGCCCCGGCCGCCGGAGAAGCTGCACCTCCGGAGGTCTCTCCCGCGGTCAAGGCGTCAAGGAGGTGTAGCGCTAGGTACGAGGGCAAGCAGCGCCCTTACTTTGGTACGAAGCGCCCGCGCCCGGATACGGCTCCGAAGAAGGAAATCGTAAAGAAGAGGGCCAGAATGGACCTCGGCCTGATGCAAGCTTCTACAAGTGATGTTAATGGTGTTCCTGGTGAGTTTAGTGCTGATGGTGAAGTTGGCTGCCATGACCAGCAAAACGGAGAGGTTAAGAGTGGTTTTGTCCAGGTCAAGGAAACTCTGAGGGCCTTTAACAGTCACTACCTTCACTTCGTTCAGGTTCGCCTTCTCCTGAACCAAGTACAGTGTGATGATAAAATAATGTTTATTAAGAAAAATGTAAATTTGAAATTAATATCAAAATTTTCTGCTAAAGAATTGTGGTATGTTTAAAAGAATGTATGGAGAACCAGAAAGGCGGTAGTGGTTAGTTTCTGCCTTGGGCAACACTGTCCTGTTTTGAGCCTTTTCTTGTAGCTTTTCTGGGACATGTTTTGGTACTGAAAAAATGTTATTACTAAAATGCTCACATACTAAGAAAACGAAAATCAAAACATTTTTGTCTGAACATTGATGGGTGTTTCTTGGTACGTTTTTTGAGGTTTTTTTCATTTTGTTGATTGAGTAGTTTTGAATTACATGAACAATACATTCATTCTTTGGGATATTGAACTTAAATTGGACGTCTTCACTAAATCTAAATGAAAGGTAAGGTTAAAGAGACATGCATTCTAGCTGGAAGTATGCTGACCAAATTGGTGTCAGCGTTACATCCAATTTCACATAGGAATGGAAGTAAAATGAACTTACATGTAAAACTTTAGGATAGTCAAATTGTGTTTGTTTATGAGCATTTTTTTTTAATATGATAATGATATCTTCAGAAGAGAATCCTAATTTTTGTATGAAATCTGAGAGGTGCTCCTGGTCATATCATGAATTATTAAGTAGGCGAATTATGGAAACTTCAGGACTCCGGTCATCATTTTGCATTTGTATACAATGAATTATGCTTCTTTGCGTAAACAAGTATTCCGTAATAGAAACTATATTGCCCAGATGTTTTTTACATGTCCAGAAACTAGGCATGCTGCTGCCAACGACTGTACATGTGCGGAAAGTGTTGATTTTTTTTTTGGATTGTATAGGACTGTTCTAAGATTGATAATGCAAGTGTTATGCTACCAATCTAGTTTGTCAATGTATAATTCTACAGGCAAATTGATGCCTTCGGAAGTTCTGAACGCTTACCGATCACTTTTTGTAAATCATTTCAGCACTAACTGATACATACAGAAGATATCCTTGGTAAGAGATGTTTTGTATGAGATCATGGAACAAATATGCACATTAGTTACATCAATAAGAAAATTGTCCTTGTTTTTTCCAAGTGGCAAACCTAAATGAAATATGTGAATCTACATGTCATCGCAATCACAGAAAGCTGGATGTACTTAAACAGGCATTGATTTCTATCGAACAAGAAATTTCATGAATAGCACGAGAATGTTTGTGATTGTACCAAATAAAATTGTTTATACCTTGTGAAGATAGGTGCTTCCTGTCAACCATGTTTGATTCATTATACGTCGAGCAACCTGGGACTGTAATAGTTGATGGTATTCTCTTGCACCTGGTATCTCAGTGTTCTCTTCTTTTATAATACAGGAGGAGGAGCAGAGGGTTAAGCAAGTTGAAGCTAAACTGTCGGAGCATCCTAAAGATTCAAAAAAGAAGGTGGGCCTCAACTAATAACTATGTTGGTTCTATAATGCAGTTGTGCTGTTACTCAACACTATGGATTTGCTAGAAATTAAAAGTGCCATGATCTCAAAATGGTCTTGCAATTTAAGATTAGTTTAGGTTATCCCTAGTTTGTGATTATTGTTCCATGTAATTAATACTTTATGAAGCAATGTTCTACCTCTATGTAACTAATATTGTATTTAATTGATGTTTGTGTAGACTGTGGGTGATACTGAAGGGGAAGTAAAACGAGCTTCTAAACGACCTGATCTCAAGGCAATTTCAAAGGCAAGTGTTTCAGTCTTCTAAATTAGTATATAAACTAGTTTTGTCGAAGTTAAGCTCCAACAACTTGTGAAATCTTTATTATAGTTCTGCTTGGGTTGGTACATCTTGAAAACCCACTAAATACGCATGATACCTAAGAATCTAAGAAAACTTAAAAGTAGATTATTGTCGGAAGTTGCTTATTTTCTTTTTGGTATCAAATGTGGACTGCACTTTAAAGATCATAGAAAAGATTAAGGTTTAAAGTTTGAAACTCACGGATTCCTCTTGAATAGAGAGAAAATTAGTGAAAAAAATTGATTTTTAGCAAAAGTATCGGCTATAAAAGTGAACAATTTCTTTGAAGTAGGATGATAACACTTATCATCCTATAGTTGTTTTGTGTGGAGAAATAAGCAAGGAAGACACATTTGAGGGCGAGGATCAAGTTTACCATAATGTTGAGAATGAATATGAACAAAAAAGATACAATCAAATATCTTGGATGAAAAGTCACTAAAGCCATGAAAGTTAAGAAAAAACTTTGAGAGAAAGTAATTGTAGTTTTATGTTCTAAAACTTTAAAAAATAGTTGATTTATTAAACAAGTAGCAATTAGTATTGCTTCTTCCCAATATGCCTTAGGCACTTTTTTTTTTCTGAAAGAATAGGGTGTGTGTTACCTCAATAAGACTTGAACGAAATAAAGCAACTACTTCGATAATAATTATCATTGAAGGAAATAAAGCAACTACTTCGATAATATTTGGGATCCATAAAGATTCCTAGCATCAATATGAATTAATAGAAAATTATGAGATGATTTTTTGTTGCTCAATGGAAAGAAAACGCTGTAGTGTTTGGTCAGTTAACAAACATCTTAGTAAAAATCATTAACATTGATGGTATATAGTAATGCCCGTTATTAGTCTGAAAGGTGGATGTCTGGGATGCATATGAGTCCAGTTGTGGACTTTAGTAAATGAAAATTTTGTTGAAAGATACATTGATGGTAAATAGTTTATTCATTACTATTGCCTAATTCAGATAGTAAATCCCTTTATTAGTCTGAAAGTCAATTTGGGTGAATAAGTCTGAAAGTCATTTCAATTTTCAAGTCATTAATTGGACTATTGTTATTTAGTTGTACATAAAATCTTGTTTTTGAGGATCAATTATGGGCAAAATTAGCAATGTTTGTCATGATAAGTTTTTTTGTCAGTCTTTGTCAGAATGAGCTTTCTTTTTGTTTTGAAAGTGGTAGACAGGTGACTCTGGTACCTTTGTTATATTAGAAACCTATTTCTTTCATAAAGTCCTTCTCCCTAAAGGTTCTCAATGCTGTTTAAAGGTCTGACATTGGGAGGTTAGAAAGTATAGGATGCATAGTCTTTTCAACAAAACAATAGGTTTCTTGTGATCATATGAGACAGCTTTCATATGAGTTCTTTGTCAGAATTGATGCATCAATCTTTTTATAATTGAAATTTTAGTTGGGATAATCTTACACTGCATAATATTTTCTAAGAAACAATAGATCTTTTAACATACATGATAAAGCTTTCATGTCAATTTATCAGAATTGATGCATGCATTTTGAAAATTGTTAACGCCCTGACACACTTATATATGTTATGTATAAATAAATTACTATGCATGTTCTCATATGTGAAATTTCATTTGAAGGTATATTTTAGCTGGATGATAATCATTGCTTCTATGCACCAATTTATGATGATTTAAAAAATTATTCAGTATCATGAGTTGAGTAGATATTGATTTTGGTTTGTCATCAATCATTGTTTAAAATTTTTTGTTTAATTTCTTCAAAAACTTTGTTTGCCAGATGATTGAAAATGGATCAGTTCTCTGTCATGAGAAAAGGATCGGTCATCTTCCAGGTCAGTTATTCGAAGTTTGAGTATCTTTTGATAGGTTGCATTTGGTGCTGATATTTATGCATGTGTTATTTGTAAATATTTTTTTGTTATGCTCTTTATTCATCTTGGTAAATGCACATGATAGCATATGTTACTAAGCTTATCTAGTATGTTCTGTTGTGTTTTGGTAGGTATTGGTGTTGGACAACAATTCTATTCACGTGCTGAAATGGTGGTTTTAGGTGTACATGGCCACTGGCTAAATGGAATTGACTACTTGGGAGGCTCTTATGCCAAACAGGTAATTGATATGATATCCTTATTGACTCGTGGATGTTCTTATCAAATTCTGAATCATTTTTTATGGATTATGTCCTATTTGTTTTTTTCATTTAAATAGAACAACATGAAAATCATCAGGCTTAATTTCCCAAGTATTTGGGGTGGCTATGTTAACCTTTCTTTGCCACTGAACTTTGTTTAGGCAGTATAACTAGTAAAACTAAGAGTAGTTAATTATCTATATATTATTTCTACTGAAATTTATCTACAACTCTCTCTACTTCTCCTTGTACAACTAAGTTGGCTCATGTTATCTGATGCATCTTTATTTCTCTTTTGGATGTACTCAGACCATTATAACTGTCTTTTTCTCATTTTATCATTTGTTGGATGTAAATGTTCATGAATATAGACATTCCTTTATCCTATTCTCTAGTAGCACTAAACAACTGTCTTGGTGTTCTCAAATTTGCAACATTAATTTATCGTATATGTTTCTAACTCGGGTATTGCCAAACTGCCCGAAACGGTACATAGTTAGATTGTAACTATACCTCTGTTCAAAATTCTTGATTGGCCTTATAAGTTCTTTTAATCAAATTTTCAATTCATTAAACAGTTAATAAATGTAATAAACTCCTGATGGCCTCCTTCACTTTAATCATTTCACTTCAATTCTATGAATAATATCTTCTTCTATCTCTCTTTCCTACCGAATAATCTTTATAAATGTCTTAAACCTTTAGAACTTTTTTCCATCATGTTCTGTGAATTTAAACGACTTAAAGATGATAATGACCATTATAATCCATTTCTATCCATTATAACATAATAAAGGCTCTTATGTGACAGAAGTGATGGCCTTTATCAAATCTCAACTGTCCTTCGAACAGAACTGTCTTGTGTTATGCCTTAGATCCTTGTTTTAAATTGTTTATCAGTGCTGTATTTATTATGGCGGTATAGTTCTATGAAGTATCTTCTTTATAACATATTTCCATAAAATTGGCTTTTGAGACATGCTTCACTTAGTTTACAAAATAGTGCATTTAAATTTTGGTATTGTATTACCATGAATCAATATTCTTTACATGAATGGATAGTCATCATTGGCTTTTATTTTTAATGTAGCAAGAACAGTACAAGGGTTATATTTCAATCTTAGTCTTCTATTACCATGAATCGAGATTCTTTAGATAGATGGATAGTCATCATTGATTTTTATTTTTAATGTGACAGGAACAATACAAGGGTTATACTTTTCCACTTGCTGTATGCATAGTGTTGTCAGGCATGTACGAAGATGACAGTGATAATGCTGAAGATATTGTGTACACCGGTCAGGGTGGACACGATTTACTTGGTAGTAAGCAGCAAATTCGGGATCAAAAGTTGGAACGTGGTAATTTGGCATTAAAGGTTTGTTTGATAGCACTATTCTAGTTACTTTGTGCTAAATTTGTGCAGATGAATTAAAGTTGCTGAGCCTAATCTTAAGAGAAATACACTAATCACCCTTAATTCTTCCTAGTTATGGAATAATTATTTAATTATGTCAAATGATAAATAAAACATAGTAAGAACTTACCTACCTTTAATTGGAAAGAATTTTCACCAAATCTAGATTTCTAATCCCTCTAACTGAAGGTTTGATTTGTGCTAATAGCTCATTAAGAAGTTTACTCAAGTTAAGAGTGACAGAGAGATTGAGAATGAGCATGAGTGAGAGTTAGTGAGAGGCGTAGGACATATAAGCGATTGAAACCATGGTCCAATGGTCAATTTGATTGTTGAACCCAAATTTACATGTGATTCAATTGGTATGATTGAAGTTCGATCATTATCGATTGTTACATTAGTAATGATCGAGTTTCGATTGCATTAGGCGGGGGCCATACCACTTGATATGTACCCTGTTTCCTGTGTTCCTCCACTCGAAGAGGTATTGGGCGGGCCGATTCGTAGCACTTGTATCATATTGTTTCCCGGGTGGGTACAACAAATAATGTGTTCATGCCTCATGGTCCCTACTAATGGTGGAACTCCTGTGCTATTTAATTATATCGTCAACTTTAGCATTACAGGAATGAGACTCCTAAATCTTGAAGTAACCAATGTAACCAAAGCAATTCTGATGTAGTATAAGCAAGAGCATGATATTCTGCTTTGGTACTTAAACGAGCAACAACACTATGTTTTTTACTCTTCCAGAAAATCGAAGAATCACCAAAAAAGAAACAATATCCGGTAGTAGATTGTCTATTAGTGGGATCACTTGCCCAATCAACATCTAAGTGAGTATACACGAAGCACTAGGAATGCCTCAATTAAAAAATGAAAGCCATTAAAACTTGTTCTTTTTATGTAGCATAAGATTTGAAGTACAACATAATGAACACACTGAGGCGTCGACATAAATTGGTTAACTAAATAAATTGCATATGATATATCCGAATGTGTAACTGTCAGATAAACAAGATTACCAACAAGTTAATAAAGAGTTGCATCTTTTAAAGGCTCTCCTTTTGTGGCATATAATCTTTGGTTCAATACGTGTGTCTGTTACTTTATTGTCAGAACAAAGAATTTGTCTTTTGAGAAAATTGAGTTTAAATCATTTTGGAAAAAAGTTTTATATGTATCAAATAACTCAAATCGGTTATGCATCAAATAAATCTATGTAAAACATGAGAAATCATCAACAAGGATGACAAAATAATTAGATCCACCCATAGTGGGTACCTAGGAGATGGACCTCATGCATCAAAATAAACTAAATCAAAAGGCGTAGAAGCAAAGGAATTACTAATAGGAAATGGAAGGGCAATTTGTTTTCCCATTTGACAAGACATACATTCAAAATGACGAGAAGAAACCAAACCCAATTGACCAATATTGATTAAAGGTTTCAGTTGAGAAAGTGAAGTATGTCCTAACCGAGAATGCCAAAGACCCAATGGAGCATGTTTCACAATTTTCTGAGTGATGCAGCAGCTGTAGAAGGAATACGAAGTCGAGTGAGGAAGAACAAATATCCAGTTTTACGGCCTGTCCCAACAATCTGACCAGTCTGTGGATCTCGCATATTACGACCAGTAGAAAAAAAATGAACATCAAATCCCAGGTCACATAATTTATCATCTGACAATAGGTTTAATAAAAATTGAGGAACAAAATATGTATTAGAGATTGTGAGATTGGACGTAAAAATTGAGCTAATATGACTTAAATTGTTGACCCATTAGTAGTGTGAATATTAAATGCAGGAGTTCTAAAAGAGTATTTTAAAGAATTTGTTGTCATATAATTTGCACAAGTTGAATCAAGAAGCCAAGTAGTATTTCTTGACATGTCAGGAATTATAAAGGCAGAATGAAGTGATATACAATATGAAACCTTGTTGACTATAGCTTCAACATCTGTAGCAGAAAGTGTTGGGCTAATGGAGGAAGACTTGATAGTTGCAGTTGCAGTGGTCTTTCTAGTAAGTTTACAGCATTCTTGAATTGTATGTCCAATCTTACGACAATACCTTACAAATTGGCTTTTTCTATTCTCCATTCAAATTACTTGTAGCAATGGACGAGGTGAAGGGTGGAGAACTCCTAGATGGGTTCTGGGACACTAGGAAGAGGAATTGTGCCACGACCATTTTGGCAATCTTGTTGGAGATGGGGCCATTGACATAGGTGATGTGCTCCTTGAGGAGGTGGGAGAAGATGTCGTACGAGTGCTCGCCATGCTTGTTTGAGGGGATCTAGGGAGGGAGGACTTTTGCCATTGAAGGAAGAATTCTGGACTTTTGTTGAGGAGAACTACAACTAAAGAGAATGGCGGTCGGACTTTTACCCCCGTGGAAGAAGACCAAATATATGTAAAAGTGCAACGATCTGTCTACGTGATCTTGACATATTTGGACAGCGATGGTCCGGACAGGATGTAGAGGAAAGAGCGACGGAACAAAGAAGGGCATGCAAAGGGCAGCAACAACGATAGTAAGGGTAACAACAGGTAGGAGGTGGAGATTGGATGCGACAGATTTGGAAGGTCGTGATAGATGTGGAAGGTCGGCTGTGATGGGGAGGTTGTCTGCTGCTCAAGGGCGTTGGTTGTTGTTGGTGAAGATCGGAGGTCAAGGGGGATCCACATTGATCGTCAAGAGAGGGCTTTTGCTTAGCAGTCGATCGACGAAGAAGACGACAAATATATGAGATTGGAGAGGAGAATGACAAGTTGTATGATTTTCAGTTGATAGGAAGGGGGGGAGCAGAGATGTTCATCCAGGAGAACATAGCTGCATCGCTGGAGCAAATCAGAGGGAGGGTTGTGATTGGGTGTCATTGGAACTGCATCATCAAAAGGATGCAATGAGGGACCCATAGTAGCCTTCAGGAGAGAACAAAGTGCAGCGAGTGATGATCATGTCCTTTGCCTTGTGACTGTGAGTCGTCGAACGGAATCTAATTTGGGGATGGACAAAATTGCAGCAGCGGTAGTGGTGTCACTGACCCTTGGACAGGAAGAATCGTGGTGGTAAATAGCGATTGGAGGAACTTGAATGAGGGATGTGCAGTGATGGAGGGCTGCGGTTTGGTGATATTGTTTGATGGTGAAATCAATGAATCAGGAACAAGCAACAACGATTGGAAAGCTACATTGGAGGCGGAAGTATTTGAGGAGACTCGATTGTGCTTAGCGACGAAGGGTTGTGACAATTGTGAATAAAGTGAAAGGATTAGAACAAAGGGAAGGATCAAAACAGAAGCTCGGATAACATGAAAAAGTGAAAGGAGGAAGAAGAAACATATATTTTATTGATGTTTATTCTGTATACATCACAACCCTATTTATAGGATGAAAGTCAATCAAATTAGTCTCATAAATTGAGAACTCAAGGGATGTCAGATCCCTCTTGTATGGTAGGAATCTGGGAAAACATATGGCGATCATATCAAGGGATTTGAGATCCCTTTACATTGTAATTTCGACAACATTCATATCCAAAGTCCTTTAGTCTTAGTTTATGTACTAATAATAGTAACATGATCATAAGAATAGTTGACACGAGAAGATCTATAGGTTTCATAATTGCAGTTACAAGTCAATTTGTTTATTTTTGATGCCATTTTATGAAATGAAATAAATGCAAGAGAGTGAGATGAGAAGAGGAAAAGAATGAAGCAAGATTCAGCGAGCACAAAAAATATCACAGTTTTGTGTTTTCTTATAAGCCACAATTTTTTCTCCGTCCTTGAAGACCCTTAGTGGAGCTGCTTAAAATATGGTCATTGGTCTCTGACTTACGAAAATTTTCTTATCCTTTCCTTCCCTAGATTGGAGTCGGTGAAGACAAAATACGTTTATAAGAGAAATTATAAAAAATACGTAACATATTTTGAAGCTACTTGAGTGGCTTAGATGATTCAAAATGTAGATATATTATACAAATTATTGGTAAAAAATCTTTATGCTTTTGCCTGGAATAGCAGTTGTGCTTGTCTATACGCATCGAATTATATTTAAGGTATTTTTCTTCTACAAAAAATATAGTTTGAATCAATATATAGATTATTAGTGGCCTTTCTGCCATCACAAGCTGCCAAACACAATTTTACAGTAACTGTATGCTAAACTAAGGACTTTAAAGAATGATGTAATAAACATTTTTTTTTATCTATATGCTTTTGCATATGTTTCTTTTCTAGTTTCAGAGAATTATTTGCCTCTTTTTCTGTGCAGAATAGCTGTGAATGCGGTTCACCTGTTAGGGTTGTTCGTGGGCATGAATCACAAAACAGTTACTGTGGAAAAGTTTACACATATGATGGTTTATATAAGGTTTGTTTTGGAAGCATGTTTTAACATTTAATTTCTTTTTATTGGTTCTGCATGTTCAGGTTGCTTTTTGCCTAGTTGGTGAATGTAATGTCTTACAAGATGTATGTTCTAATACGTAGAATAAGCATATGATTTCTTTTGAAGCTTATTTTGCAACATATTGGGCATTTTGTTCCATATAGAATATTATTTTCTTGTGGAATCTTTTATTACTGTTGACATTTTTTTGTAGCATGGCCAATTCTTTAATTTTATTTTGTAAATATTTTGTTTATAAGACATAAATGAACTTTGTTAGAACTTGAACAAGCATTGCTACATTAACCGAACCTGTCTTTATCAACCAAAAGCCAAAAATTTTTTAATTGATATACTTTGTGATCTTGACTCCTGCATGTGATACCTATTATTTGTTGAGCATGTTCCATGTAGGTCAAATATGTTGCTCTTGGATTTTTGATTTTTAATATAAAGTGATAGAGATGGATATTATTAGATTTTGATGCTTGTTATATGCCCATCTGTTTTTGGGTGATTCTCATTTTCATAGAAGTGCAAAGCAACTTGTAATTTTATTACTTTGCATAATCTTGGTTTGGTTGCAATGAGTTGGTTTAAGATGGAGTAGTAAGAGTGTGTAGAACTCTCTTGAACCTGACTTGAGAAGCCTATGAGTTGAGGTTTCTTGACTAAGACCTGGCATACTTATGTTGATAGCTCGTGTTTGGATGAGTTAGGATGGCAAGTTAAATTTCACTTTATTCTTTAGGTAGAAAAAAATCTAGATGAATTAGGACCCATTTAATGATACCCAATGTAGAGCATATTGCGTGACTTGAACCTGACCAACCGATCCACCAATCAACACTTCTTGACTTACATCAACTGATTAACTGACGAGTCATCTTAAACAATTTTTGTTTAGGTTGAGATTGGGTCAATGCTATGTGTTTGACATTCTCACCTTGACTCCTTGTTTAATTGACAATAGTAGTTAATCTTTCCATGTGTGATTGTAGAGGCGTATATTTTTGCATTGTCAGACATTATGAAAGAGTGATGCAGCCTTTTGGACTAGCAGTTTTATGTCAGTTAGATCAGGGTGGTTTCATGTCTGGTTGTGCCTTAGTTTCATTGTTTTATGTAATTTTGAGTTAAAAATGATGTAGATGATTTTATCCATAATTTCAATAATGTCAATTATATTCTACAAGTCGGAAAAGTATTATATTTTAATAAAACGTTATATTATTTGTAGACATTTATTGTTCAATAACGATAATCAAGGAGGGTGAGGCATTACCTATGTATAATGTTCCTGAGTAGATTAGATAAAAAATAGGAAGGTTTTGATACATTTCAAAATAAAAGATGAGAAATCCTTTTCTTTTCCACCTGGCTTTAAATTTTGATCCACATAAAGGGCATGTGAGACTCTTGTCAATGCAGGATTAGTGTATGTAGCCTTACTTTTAATTATTATTTCGAGGGATGGATCCGTGATAAGGCTCATTCTCTTAAATTTTGATCCATATATTTTAGAAAATACTATAATATCTGTATTCATTTATTATGTCATCCAATAAAAGAGATTTTGAATGGTTTGTTTCATTCGGGAAGATTTTATTGTATTTGAAAGTTAAAGATGACATTTTATTATTTTTCCTCCTTTAGTATTAAATTTAGGTATATGAATATTAGAAAGACATGATAATATTTGTGTTTATATTTTGTGGAAGAATGAAAATAAAAGCAATGTTGAAGCATTTCAGTTTGGTTTAGCAGTGAATCGGTTTGACTAAAAGAATAAGTCTAGTCCCATTGGATTTTGACAGGAAACCAACATTAATAATTGTCAACTGTTAGAGAGGGTAATTTTGCCATGATAAAAGTATAGTTGTTCTTAATTTTTAATGCACTCATATTAGGATATTGTATAACCATATCTATATCAAGATAGTTTATGCTCGTATTAGTTTAGTTGCCATGACAGTATTGCTGTAAAACAGGACAGTATCCCTATCATGCTATTTTACACCCACACAATATTATTGTAAAATAGGGAGCAAACAGTTGCATCATCGGTCATGGACAAAAGTGAAATGCCTCGTAAATTGGAGCAGAAATAAGATTTATGTCAAGCCTAGGTTTATGATGTCTACTTAAAGCTAAGATTTCATGTTAATTATATTGAAAAGATATGAGATATTTCTATATAACCCTTGATAAATAACATTTAAAAATTTAAAAGGAAAATTTTATATATTAAGAAATTAGTAGTTTGCTATGCTTTTATTTTATGCATATCCATATCATGATACTTTACTCTCATATTAGTGTAGATGTCATGACAATATTACTATATGGGTAGTATCACTATCATTCTATCTTTTACACCCACACAATATTATTGTAAAATAGGGGGCAGACAGTTGCACCATAGATCGTGGACAAAAGTGGAATGCCTCGTAAATTGGGAGCAAAGATAAGGTTTATGTCAAGCCTAGGTTTATGATGTCTACTTAAAGATTTATTGTTGATTATATTGAAAAGACATGAGATATTTCTATATAACTTGTAGATAAATAACAATTAAAATGATAATTTTGTATATTAAGAAATTAGTAGTTTGTTGTAAGTCTTAATCTGGTATCATACCAGTGTACCGAGCTTTGCTCGGTACGGTATGGTACTGTATATCAAGTGGTACGCTAGGGCATATTGAGTGGTTCGCCTAAAAGAAGCATAAAACCCTCAAAAAATATCTGAAAAATAGAAAAAAATTAGGATAGGGTTTTTAAGTTAGAAATAAATATACATTTAGTATAGTTTTATCAAAACTAATGTAAATTAGGTAAGAATATTGTCACATATTTTTTTTCGAGCTTCGAGGAGTAGTCTTGTACAAGGTTTGCAATTTCGATCCATTTCGAATCGTCCTTCCTTTAATATTGAATTATCTACAAAAAAAATTATTTGAATTGTTAGATTATTTTGTATACAACTTTAACTTTAAGATTCAAATGAATTAAGTAATCATAGGTGTAGATATACTTGATTTCATCATCAAAATGAACGACGGGCCTCCACGAGTGGTGGATCGGGGTCCTCGATCCTATATATTTGTATATCAATATGATATATTTGTCGAATCCAATCCTGAAATTGATCCCACGACATAGTGTATTGATACATCGTATGTCATTGGTGTATCAATGTGGTAATGGTCGTAGGTTGATCGTCTTGAATCACATGTGTCCGAGACGGCTCCTGAGGCATGTAATAGTGTATTGACATTGTTGCTCGGAGAAGTATGACCAACTATCACCGTATTGTTGTTGGCTGTAATTTTCTCCATAATATCGATGGTTGTGAATATAATGGGCTTCTTTTTGTTTCTACATTGTGTAGGCTCTGTCATATCTGCTCAAAATTATCCTTTGGCTTTCTTTTCCCCTTCCGTGCGTAAACTTGACCAGTATCTCGTCGAGTGTCTCGCCAAGTTTCTTGTCGAAATCGATCAGTACCAGTCAGTAATTTCGATCGTTATCGTTCGAAATAGCCTTGTATCACTTGATACAGGGCCAAATGCCTGATATCGCTCGCAGTGATTGAAAAAGGCGCTCGGGCGCTCGCTTAGGCGCTCGGGCGAGGCAAGGCGAGGCCCGAGCGCCTCGCTAATCTCCCAGGCGGCGCGCTTCAAACAGGCGCCGCCTGGGCGCTCGTCCGAGCCCAAGCGCTGGGCGCTTCGGGCGAGCGCCTGGGTAAACCAAGGCGATCGAACCAGGATTTTAGGTCTAGTTCGGTCCTGGTTCGGTTGTTAGTTGGTTCAATCGAACCAACTAAACCGATATAACCCTTACCCAACCCTAACCCTTACCCAACCCTAACCGCTGCCGCTCCCGATCCCGATCCCGATCTCGCTGCTCGTCGCTGTCGCTGCTCGCAAACGCTGTTGTTGTCGCTGCTGTCGTTGCTCGCAAACGCTGCCTCTGTCGCCGCTCGCGCCTCCCGTTGCTCGTCGCTCCTGCTCCCGCTGCCGTTGCTCGTCGCTTTCGCTGCTCGTGCCTCCCGCGAGCCGCTCCCACTCCCTTTCCCGCTGCCGCTGTCGCTCGCCGCTGCTTCCTCGTTTCTCCGTCAGCAGGCTTATACTGTTAATATTAAGTTTATTTGAATTTTGAAATGATTAATTTTCAATATTGTTAATAGATTAATAATAGGGGAAAGAAAGAAGTTGATGGTTGAAAGAAATATTGATGGTTGAGGATCATTAATCTAAATAATCTATTAGATTGGTAATCAACCACTTTCTACAACCATCAATTTCATGTTATCGTATTGTAAATAATTATATTTATTAATTATATTATATATTTTTTATATTTTAGCGACTCGCTTTGCTCGGGCGAGCGCCTCGGGCGTTTTTGGACCTTGGCGCCTTTTGGCGCCTAGCGCTTTTTAAATCACTGATCGCTCGGTAGCAAGTGGTCCACATGTCGATCTGCTAGTGGATTGGTACGTACCACCCGTACTGGGCGGTAAGATATAGTATTACAAACCCTACTTTGCTGTGCTTTTGTTGTAGTTAGAATAAGTCAAATAATGAATCTTAGTAATGCAAGGGAAGTTAAAAGAAGACCCAAGAATATTTTACTAAAAATTATAAATAAGACCAAAGAATATTAAATGTTTTACTAAAAATTATAAATAAGGATTTAAATTATTTAAATTTAATTAAGAATATTGCTACATGCTCAGCTTAATGGCAGTAAAAGATCAATATAGGCGATCTGGAATTTTATGACCTAGCATTTACTCTTAGGAAAAATATGATTAATTATGTTGCAACAAGTAGTGTTTTCAAAAGGCACTCGAGCGAGGCAAGGCATGAGCGCCTCGTAACACCTCAGGGCAACCTACTGTTCATCCGCAGCCTTTGTTTGCATTGTTCACTGCCTTTGTACACTTCGTCTATCGTTGCAACTTCATCTACTGCCATTGGTAACCTCGTTCACTTCATCCGTTGTAGCTTTGTCCGTCGTCGTTGGTAACCTTATCCGCTTCATCTGCCATTGTAGGTTCATCCGCTGCCCTCTCCATCTTCTTAGTTTGCTCTCTCTTTTTATGTGGATATCAAATCACAATAACATGTTCAATACTGCTAATCAAGGTTTTCTGTATCACTCGAGATGGTATGGTACCGACAGTACATACTGGTCCAACAGGCGAGCGAGACATGGATTGCGTTGGATCGTGTGGTTTCTGTTTGGGGGGCGTATCATGGGATAGATCCTCTTGTATCGGGTGACATGTTTGAAATTGGACTATTATTGACTTGTACCGGTCGATAACAATTAGATTTTGATTGATTTTGATGGATGGCCTTGATTAACCTGATCCCAACAGTTAATTTGATCGTCGGCATGCCCCGGTCGATACACCGGTATGGAGCTGTATGTGCCATACCATTGGCCAGCTAGCATGTTCGGTCAGCACAAGAAGTCGAACCTTGTTGCTAATATCATGAATTTTGATTCTTGTATGGAGATAATTGAGAAGTTGTCTTATTTCACTCGTATTGATTATGATTTTCTAAATTCTTTGCTATTATAAAACTTTCCTAGACTAGTTGGTTCTTCTTCACCTGCTCTGATTTTTGGTTTGGCATTTATTCTGGTTGTTCAAATACTCTTTTGTCAACAGGTTGTAAAATACTGGGCTGAAAAAGGTGTCCGGGGGTTCACGGTATACAAATTCAACTTGAAGAGGCTCGAGGGTCAGCCTCATCTGACAACTAACCAGGTCTTTCAACTGATTATGTGAACTAATGTAGCCATTTAATGTTATTGTTGCTTCTGTCTTCTTTGAGTCTTTTTGAGATGCTTCTTTTCTCTTCCTTCCTTTCTCTTTATTTGTATCTTTTTTCTTCTTTAGTGTGTACCCAAGCGAAGAGTGGAAGTTCTTACTCCATAAAATAGTCAAATAGGCTGCTTAGGTTTAATATACTCATAAATTACAAACCCCATCTACTTTACTCAAATAACTATAATTAGCTGTTATTTAGCCAGAAAGAAAGATATTCTTTTAAGTTATGCATTTTTTTAATCCCAAACTCGTACGTATTACAGAAATTTAACAAAAAAACTTATGAAACAACTTACAAATGGCTCTGAAACACTCATATCTGTAGATCGAAAGAAGCAATGAGGAAAACTATATATGGATTTCAGAATGTTGCTTCAATTGGTGTTTAGTGGCAAGAAAGGATATGTGCAACTGATCCCAGAAACTGTAGGCCTTTGATCACTTATTATTACTTTTTTATATTTTAGAGGCACCCTTGCTAATGATTGGTCCTAGATGAAGGTAGTAACCTTGCAAAGGAGCAATGCATACAGTCCTTTCTTTAATAGTAAAGAGGTTGTTTTTATGAATCAAACCGTTGACACAAGTTGCAGAGGTGCAACCTCACTGTTGACACAAAGTCTTGCCAGCAGTAGTTGAAACTGATCTAGTTTCAAATTTGAAATTCTATGTTTTTATGCATATTATTTTGAATAAAATTTTTGGGACATGCTAGCCATTGTATTATAATACATATTGATTTCTTATAGTTATTATTATCTTATTGACTTAGAAAATAATTATTCAAAATTGTTACTTGAATCATGAGTGTTTCTTTTGGTTTGTTATGGTGTACTGATTGGCTTGTTTCTTGTACCACATTTGCTTGATTGTCTCTTCCATATGTATGTTAATTTCTCGATATAAGTTATAACATTCAGTTTGGATCCAACTTCTAATGCTTTTTCAGTGACTTTTTGGTATAGAATTATGCTAGCTCCTTTGGTGTTTGCATTGTAAAAAAATGAAGTATATTCTATGATGACAAAAGAACAGATTCATATGTTGTTTTAACACCATGTTGCTTATTCTTGTTGATACACGTCTTTAGGAAAAGCATATGGAGATGCCCAATGTAAACATTCTGGTATACAATGGTGACATAAGCTTGTTTACAACTTTACAGTGTGAAGATTCATATTGTATTCTGCACTTGATATATTTTGTGCAAAATAGTAATTATTTTAGTTATGACTTGATGTTCTTGTTGACATTTATTTACATCATATTGCTTTTTTATCATAGGAGTGTAAATAGGTCTAAGAAACATAGACAAAAACATGACACGACACAGACATGGCGACATGTCATTTTAAAAAAATTTAGGACATGGACACGCTGAGGATATGTGAATTTTTTAATTTATATATAATATTTGATTAACGTAAGGTTTATCGTATTTATATTTAAATTTTCTAATAATACACTATGGTATGATAGGCACCAATCCAAAATCTCATTGAAGTTGCAAAGCAACAGAGAGTTGAATGTGCATCATCTTTTGAGCATGTCTTGACATAATTTTATACCTACATAATCCATCATAATGAAGCTAAAAATGAAAGTCATGTAGTGCTATCATAGCATGTTCGAGAAGTCGCTGACAAGGGTCAGGTGAGCATATTCAAGAATTGCTAGGGTGAATTCATAGGCACCTAATCTGATTCAGAATAGGTAAGCATATATATGCCAAAATAAGTTTTAACAAGTTAATCAGAATAAAAAGGAAGAAAAAACCCAGGTTAAAAAAATAAACAACCAAAATAGGTTAATAATCAAAATAGGTTTTCTTCTTTTATTTAGCAGTAAAAAATAAACAAGTTAACATTTAACAAGTCAGCATCTTACCTTGCGACACAACATGGAGAAGGCTTCGCCGGTGAGGAAGAAGCTTCGTTGGACATCGGTGAGGTTGCGGAGGGCTTGTGGGCACGTGATGGCCACTAGATAGTGGTGGACATAGGTGGGGCACTCGAGGGCGGAGGGCCCGAGGGTGCGTGATGGCCATCGAGTACTGGTGAACATAGGTGGGACGTGGAGGGGCGAGGGGCACAATCGTCAAGGCTTGAGAATGTTGATGGGATGCAAGTGGGGCATAGGCTTTGCTAGATGTCGATGGGACATGGTGGACTGGGGGGAATTGACGCAAGGGGTAGAGGCTTCGTCGAGGAAGAAGGGTTTGAGTCGGGGTAGAGGTGAGTGATGGTTGTTTGGGGGTTGCATGGGGCACGCCAAAGGCTTCGTCGGTGAGGAAGAAGGGTTAGAAATCCTTGCTGAATCCATTGATGAACTAGTTTTCCAGGGATTTCATGCCTCCATCGCATGTTAGCACGATGTGATGAGTAAATCTGTGTTTGACACGAGTAAATCTCGAGCAATGTCGTGTCCGACAAAAATAGAAAAAAAATAAAAATAAGGCACGGTTGGACATGTGTCTGATCGTGTCGGTGATGTGTCTATGTTTGACATGGACGTGTCCACCAAGTTGATGGGTTCGTGATTCCTGACAATTGGTTATGGCAGACATTGTTTTGTGTTAAATTCATGTCAATTTTGGATTAGATACAAAAAATTCAATTTTGCTCAAAATGTCTAATTGTTTGATTATCTTTCGAATGGGTAATACTATGTCACTTTTGGTTAAATGCATCGTTGATTTTGGGTTTTAGGTACTGCCCATATTCCATATTGAAATCTCCTGCTCATCTTTGTTCTTGCCTCCTATTTATTAAACTTTTCGTAAATTGCAGGTTTATTTTGGTCGAGCTCAAGCTCCTAGATCTATTTCAGATCTGCGTGGGTACTATTCTTACACTACATTACTCTCTTGTCAACTAATAAAATGTATTTATACTTAAAAGTGCATGACAAAGAAGGTGTTGGCTCGGTGCTATAAAGTTGCTTATAGATGATCTTTCATTTTCTAGACTTTGTGGATTTTGCTAAACTAACCAAATATATTAACTCTATGATTATAAAATTCATGGATCAATATATCCTGGGATTGTTTATTTTCAAGGCATAATAAAAATGAAGTAATTTTTCTTGGCAGATGTATATTTACTTTTGGCTCGAAGTATGACTGTAGTTCCTGGGGTTTTGATTTCTTCAGCTTTTCTATAAAGGCTTTCTTCTTAAATATAGTCTCTTTATCACTAAATTTCAAATGCAATGATAACATATGATAATGTTGAGTGCCACATAAACTGATTTCAGAGGTCTACTGTGAATGCCATGCATTACCAACTCATGAAGACTTTGCTTTCAATATGCAATTAAATTTGGCTGCTATATAGAACAGCCACTTATATGTTAAGCAAAAATGATTCGGACCCTTTTTTGACGAAAAATTATCTCCTCCATATTGGATGATCATGGCTTCCTCCATGTTCATCCAAGAAATTGGCAAACTAATATTTTTTCCGACCAATATCTAATCAGATATTCTTGTCAACTTCGTATGATTTTTTCTTCTGGCATTCTTTGATCCTCATCTGACCATATATTAGATAATACATCTTGCTTTATTTACAAAAATAGTTTGTTTGGTTCTCACATCAATCTTTGCAAGATGAGGCTTTAAAGACATTCTTACGAGTTACAAAGTATTTGTCCATACTGTATACACAAAAGTGGTACCGTATGACATACCATGGCATGCAGCTAGGAAAAATATAAAGAACATGTTGGACCTGTAAGTGGGTGTTGTTGCCGCTGGTATCAGTATGGGCTCTGTGATTAGTATGTATTGGTTAATATAGTAGGTATGGGCTAGTGTTTAACTCCTTGGTCTTTCTTGTTAGATGGCTAGGCTTGCCACTTTAATCTACGTTCTTATGTTCCTGGCGAAATCATGATCACCATAATCATCGGAGAGTTAAGACTTATTCCAGACAAGTCAAACTTTATAGGTCAAGATCAGTGCTTATTAAGAAATTTTTGTATAGAGAACATGGTTTTGCTAAGGCTAGAGGAGACCCGTGTCTTGATTTTGACCATTCCTCTTATTGCTGTCCAATACTGCTTATCATATGTTTTTTTCCATATACTTGTAGTGCAAGCCCAAAGGTGTGAAAATGAGGAATTGTAGATGGCCTTTCTAATAATTCTGATGCCTTTTAATGGGTTTTTATGTTTTCTATGCACTATGTATCTTAGTTAGATGAGAAGGGAATTGTTGGCATTTGACTGAATAATGTGAATGGCATAAGAGGTCTCATGGAGTATTAATTGTGACAAGTTATACTAAGAGCAGTAGTTTGTGTTTCTTAAAAGAAATGGTACTCTTTTGGTTTAAGATGCAAAATTGATATGGGACCTCAATAAAATGTACTCCAGATACAAGATGCAAGTTCTCTTCAATAAGCTTATGTTCCAAGCACCAAATTTTGTAAACTTGGTCATTTTATCCTTTTATTGATTTCTATTGGTGTTTCCTATGGTGGTTCCTGTACTTTTGACACAATAACATCAAATCTTTGATGATCTACTTAAAATTCCTTTCAAGATTAAGTAATCTGATTGCTGTATTATTTTCTCAAGTGGAATTAGGCTTTGATGAGCTTGATATGATTTGGCAACAAGTATTATAGGTGTACTTAGTGGTGATGGAATCAAATACTGGTATTTACAGATCAGACAAATTAAACATGTTTGTTGGTACACCATTTACTTAATATACTGACATTATGGCATTCTAAACATCTTTTTCACTAGTGACCAGCATGCACTCTATCACCCTATTTAGTGTTGTTGATTTATAAAACAACGGGTTGTTGATTTATTGTTGTTCACTAATGACCGACATGTACGTGTACTCTATCACCCTATTTAGTGTTCACTGGTCTGATAAGTTTCAGTACTTGTGCTGAAGACTATATCTGATTCGATGCTTAAGGTTTAAGTCAATTAGTGCAATAAGAAATTTTCATCGTCAGTTTTTTTCTTCTTTCTTTTCTTCCATGGCATGGTTGATACTTTTGTATGATCTAAGGAGCAAGGTTTGGATGATTAAACAATATGTATTGGGATTTGCTGAACCTTCTCCCACATCACCTGCAACATCTTTTTCAATAAAGTCAGGTCCCAGGTACAACAAATCAGCCTGGGTTGTTTGAAACAAGAACTGCAAAGCTGACTGGTTCAATATGGTTTGATCAGTATTCAAGGTTGAACCGCTGACTGGTTCATGGAACAGACCCAAATTGGGTTCTTTGGGTTGAGTCCTCATATAATCTTATTTCTCTGTTTACCTACCTAGGTCTGTGACACAACTCAGATATGGGGAATTTCAACCTCTCCATTCGCTGCATGCTTACTGCATGTGGCCGCCCGCATGTACACCTCCTCCCCCTCCTTGTCCACAGCCTCGTCTGTTCTTCCTCCTTTCTCTTCCTTTGCCACTGTTTCTTCTTCCTTCTCCTCTTCTTCTTCTTCTTCTTCTTCTTCTTCTTTCGTTTCCTTTTTGTCTCTCTCCCCTTCGTCCAACTGTCTGGACCAGACTGAAACCATTCTGATCCGACCATGGACCTTTGCATGGTATGCTGGACTGGACCAGATCCATACTGGCCTTACCATGGACTGGCATGGTTCCAGTACCCAAAACATCAATCCATGGTTTGAACTTTGAAATAAGCCAATTGAACACAAATTAAGCAATCCATGGTTAATTTTGTGCTGATCGATTGATCTTAGTCTGACTAGGTCAATTCTGATCCATCTTGGACATTCCTAGTAATATATCCCCCTCACATTTTCTATTTTTTTTTCTTTTCTTGGGCTGAGGGTCCATAACAGGAAATATTTTTCCGCTAAATTTTCCTCCTTTCAGAATCAAGCCCTTTGTTTAGTTAGGACATATTGTGGATCATGTTTTTTTTCTTTGGCAAAATTGTCCTTGTATATGATCCGTCTTTATTTTTGTGATCATGCATGGCTATTACCATGTGTAGCCAACATTGTGCTCCTATTAATTATTTTCTATTATCATCCAATACATGGAAAGTTGTATGTTGCCGTGATTTTAAGCACACTTAGTCATCAGTCTTGATGACTTTTGAGATCACTAGTTTCTAATTCTCTTTTATCTGTAATGTTTTTGCTGGAGGACTATTAATCCACATGATGTTGCAACTTTGTCTAATCCTGAACCAACCCATTTTTTGTTCAGGCTGGTATGTGAAGACATTAGTGGAGGCCAGGAGAATATTCCTATTCCCGTCACTAATGTTGTAGATGATCCACCTGTACCACCAACAGGCAAGCTTTTTTATTAGTTCCATCGCATCATTCAAGTTGCAATTAATGGTTGATTCCAAGGAGGTTAATTCCAAAGAATGTCATATCATGCAGACTGGGCATATGATCGGACTGATACATATCAGATGGTACCAGTGTCTGGTGTTGGTACACCTGTAGGTATCTATTTATAAAAGGGTCGAAAATGGCCCAAAATTAAAAACCTTATCTTAGGATTTTTTTCTCCTAAGTTCTTGGTATATAAATTATATTTAAAGATGAATAAAGCAGGGTTTGCCGTACCAAACTGTATCGCCCGGTACGGGCGGTACGTACCGGTCCGATAGGTTGTCGGTACGTGGACCGCCTGTTATCGGTCCGAGTGCACTGTAGCAGTGCACTGTAGCAGTGCACTGTAGTAGTGCTACAGTCTCGGCACACCTGAGTGTACCGCTCGGTATATCGTATCGTACCGGTACCGAGCCCAGGTCGAAATACCGGTACAGTACGGTATTGCGAACCTTGGAATAAAGTGTACCTAAGTCATAAATGAACAAAAATTCTAGTTATAAGTTTGAAAAATTGAATCTATGAATACAATAAGTTGTGATTAGCCCTAAATTATGCCTAATGACCCCTAATTGGATCTAATAGTGAGAAAACAACACTAATTAGCTCTAATTAGATCTTAATCAAATTAAATACAATAAAATCATTAATCAACCAATAAATTCATAATCATTCATAATCCAACAATGAAAAACAGGGTGTAATTAGCCCTAAACGCCCCCAATGGGGCCTAAACATAAGAGAATGGCACTAATTGGGCCTAAACATAAGAGAATAACCTTAGTCACATTTAATCTTTCTACATATGCATTAATAAGCCTCCAAGTTTATGAAATGATATATAAAACATAGACAAAAAAAAAGGCTAAATACCTTTAATTGGGGAGAAAATTCCATCGGATCCTGAGTTCTAATCCCTCTTTTATTCAAATGAAGAGGTTGATGTCGACTAATCGTTGGTTAGGAATTAAACAAGTGAGAGTGTGAGACATAGTGAGAATGAGAGTTAGTGAGAGTGAGTGTAAGAGGGGGAACAGGAGGCCTTTTAAAGGGCTAGAATAGGGCTCAAAGGTCAATTTCATCGTTGGGACCTGGTTTTTGGAATAGGAGATTGGTACGGTAGAAATCTGAGTATTACCAGCCCGTATCTGTCAATGATGGTTGAGTTTCGACTATATTAGCTGATATAGGGGCGTACCGATCAGCATGCCTACCCCACACCTATCCTTAATCGCATACTGCTCATAATGCGTTGGTTTGCATAATGGTGCCTGTTTTGTACTGTATTTGGCCCATGGGTAATTCCTTATATTTTTTGTTAGTGAAGCACTTCTATTCAGTTTTGTTAATCATATATATATGACCTTTGTGGTTGTTGAATATCACCTTAATTTTTTGTGTACATAATCATGATGTTGATTGAGGCAACCTTGAAATGTTACCAAAGTGTCTATTCAATATATGAATCAAGGAATGCAATTTCGTCTGGACTGCTGCACACCAACCGGGTGTGATCTGGCCCATGGACCAACCAATTTGGGACCCTTCTCATGGGTTTATGGTTTCATGCCTGATATGCCCTGTGGGCTCCTGTGAACTGGGCCGTAACCACTCCCCTTGAAAATTGGGCAAAATTCTACAGCTGTTTGTCAGGTTGATCACAATAATTCTGATATAAAACTATTGAAACTAAACAAATTTAAGTATTGGAAGTTTTTTTCCTCGTAAATTAATGGTAATATGAGGATAGAACAATCTTTCTTCTTGGTAGAACCAATCCAAGAACTAAAATCATCAAAAAAGAAAAAATCGACCAAAATTTTTATTTGAATTATGTTGTAGTAGAATTGTGAAAGTTCACTCAAAAATAAATTAAAATACAGTCATTCACAGAAAGTACCTTAAAACGTATCAAATTCGAGAATTATCTATCCTAAATTCATCATAAAATGAAAAGAATTTTATAATCCTTGTTAGAATCTTTTTCTAGTAGAATTATGAAAGCTTAAGATGGTTTGGTTGAAGTTGACCCATTATATTAAAAAATGAATTGAATTATGAAAGCTTAATTAATTTGATAATTAATTATTCTAAAATTATCATAAAATAGAAAAAAAATCAGTACAAAAATATGTCGAAGTTGATCCGTTTACACTCGTTCACACAATCCATACACAAATGAAAAATTCTAAAAAATTCTTGTTAGAATCATGTTATAGTAGAATTATGTGAGTTTTGGATCATTTATTGGAAGTTGATCTCGTTACACTCAAAATGAACTGAAATACACTTGTTTATTTAACCTTTCCAATTGAAGATTTTGGATTTTATAGTCGAGTATGTTTAAATTAAAAATCAAGTGTATTTGAACATTGTTCAAAGACACTCACACTCATATATGATTATAACTCTGATTCATTTTTTTTGTTGGAAATTTTAGAAGAATTATTTCTTGAATTCTAGAGGTGTTTTTGGAGGTGGATGGAAAGTGGAGGGTGCAGGGGAGGAGTCGGAGGAGGGGGAGAAGGCAAAGGAAATGGAGGAGGGGGAGGCAAATGAGGAGGCCAAGGCGGAGGGGAAGAGCGAGGAGGTGGAGAAGGAAGGGGAGGAGGTGACAAAGGAGGGGTGTATCTGATGAGGCCCCTTTGATGTTTAAGTTAGTAAAGGTTTTGAGGATTTGGTCAAGTGTCGAAGTTAAAAAGTATATTAGGAATGCACCTAGGGTCATTTTATAGTGTGATGGATGAGTGCTAGATTGCATCTAGGCTGCAGTAAATGCTTGAAATGTTTACAGGCATCATTCGACCTTCAATGGGTCACGAGATTGTGCTTATAATCGTTTTGTTGCGGTTGCAGAGTAATGTCTTTGTTGAGTTGGCCTTCTTATTAGTGCTGCCCATCCCAACGTCGTGGGATCGAGTTGACACTTTGTGGTTGTGTTGTCAACCTCGTTAAAGGTCGTTTACTTGTTGGACTTGGCTGTGCCATCATTTTAGGATGCTTTGTGGCTGATTCGACTATGTTGTCATCATGTTGTTATTGTAGGACACTTTTGGACTGATTTGACCATCACTGTCATGGGATTCTTTTTTGTCAATTTGATTTCATCATCACAGGATGTTTTTTTTTGGCTAATTTGATTATGGCATTGTCTCAGAACTTTTCTCGTTTGATTCAATTGCATTGATGTCGGGGGACGCTTCTTGGTTAATTAGGCTGTGTCTGTATCGAGGGATGTGTCTTAGTTGATTTGGTCATGTCGAGGTGGTTCCTTGTTGATGGTGCTATGTGCATTGCTTTTGTTGTTTGGATTCTAGCTTGTGTAACAAACAATCCGCTCGTGTGAACCATCATCGTTGCATTGGTTTTCTTGAAGCATGTTGCTTCGATTGTAGTACCTGATTAGATTTGATTTGATTCTTGAGATCTCTTGATAACACTACCTCATGGTTTGCATGCGTGGTCCAATAGTAAGGTGCCATGTTGGTTTGCAATTGAATCGTTGAGGATTGTAGAGATTGCAATCTTTGCATCCAATCTTTCTTTGCCGATCTCATGCTACTATGTTGTTTGTCCAGATGAGCTTTTAGCCATTAGGTTACTCGATCCTATATATATAGGGCCTCTCCCTTTATTTTCTACCCACTCTCTTGTTTTCTTACATTTGGACCATTTGGATTTTGAGCTAAAAACGTTTGATGGACTCCAAACCCCTATCTTTGAAGGTTTGAGATTTCTTCCACTTCTTCTTCCATGTTCGGATGGGACTTGGTTTGGTCACTGATCCCATTTTCCCTTTCGGTCTTAGCGGAGCAAACTTTGTCCTCCTCTGAAGGGGTCGGAGTTGCTACTATAAGGGAGGTTGTTTTGTCAAGGTGAATTCCTCGAGCAATGGGGTTCGCAATCCTCGATGAAATCCTTTAGCTCCTCATGCATGAGCATCTTAGACTTAGATTACTTAAGATATACATTATGCATTCTGATTGAGTTCGAACTTACTCGCTCAGTGATCATCGACCTTAGACGTTGAATCATTACTTTTGTATATATATTAATGCAATCGTGTGGTGGGTCTCTAATTCCCGCCCACTCCGTTTTTTAGAAGTCTTCCAATCTTGAAAGACCACTTTTACCAATGCCTCTTGAGGTTGGCTGGGGCCGAAAAGGGGTTATTTAAAAGAATTGTCATGGCTTTGATTGAGTCCACCACCATCCTCTAAATGAGTGAGTAGTGGCTCATTGATGCAAAGCTTAGTCCTACGCCATGGTTTAGTTACTGTATCCTTCCTCCTTTTTTTATTTCCTTTCTTATGGGTTCGGGCACCATCTCATGTGTTTAGATATGGATCTCCATAATCGACTCTATTGTGTTGTTGACAAGCGCAAAAGGAAGAAGGATCCTCCCACCAAGTGGCATAAAAGCAATGGAGGGATTAAATGTCATACCTTTCCTCGGGCCCACACATTGAGAATCCAATGATGCTCGAGGTCGAGCGGAGGGTGTTGGCGTTTAACTTGATGCACAAACATCCCATCGACCACCTTTCGACCTCGCCCAACCGGCTGAGGTGGATGGGTGCCCCTTAACCCTTGTAGCACCATTAGCGAGCTCCTTCAGTTCCCAAAGGGGGAGTCTTTAAGGTCTCCTAACACCTCTTGACTGGAGGGGTCGCATTGGGAGAAGCAACACTTACAACAATAACAACAGGACTCGAGGCTTGCTACCCTCTCGACACCATCGACCACCTTGGTGACGATGAGGTCTCAGAGCTACAACAACAACGAGGGGTGGAGAAGTGTGTCATCTGACACTTGATTGATGTCATTATTATGACATGACATTGAAATCCCAATCTGAAGTCAATGACCTCAGTTTTAGCCAAAGTCCCAACTTTTAGATGTCATGTTGTAATACTTCTTGTTGGTGTTGTGTCAATGTTGTGTTAGGTCCCACCCTTGGGACCTGGAACCCCTGGGTGGCACTAGGCCGAATGGGGCCTTAGTTATATGTCTAAGGGGTGGTGCAATGCTTTTAGTGTGCTCGCTTTTTGTTTGATGAAAGTGCTAGATAGACATTGGACTTGCATTTGCATTTGTGTGTGATTGCTTAGCCCATTTGCGAGAGCTTTTGTGTCCAATAAAAATTATTTGCTTTGTGTTGCTTGTGATCCTAGTTATTTTGCCCTTTTCGTGCGCGATGGTGACATATTACCCACATGTTCTCATTTCTAACCTTTTCTTCTCTATGCATGTCTTTTGTGGATTGCACAAGATTAAGGTCTAGGTTACTCTTTGTGGACGAATATCTCTTGGGTGTCACATTCATTAGGCAATCCCAACTAAGGATGTGACAAGGTGGTGGATTGAGCTTTTTATTAATTTGTTTGCCATCGGATTGTTTGTGGGAATCATCAGTATAATTGAGTATATAGAGAAAACATCTATCTTGCAATTACTGGGATGGGCACAATTGAGCTTTTATTATCGCTGTGTACATGAATGTGTAAGTCTACAGCAAAGAGGTAATACATTATTTTAACATTAGAATTGGAAGTTTCCAGGTATTCTCAAGACAACTTTGACTCGAACCTAAAACTTTTTAATCACATCTGATAAGACTAGGAAAGTTAACAAGATCTAAGACAATTAATGGCTATAAGAGATCAAGTAACAGGGTCATGTTATTGGTCTTGGATGGAGTCTCTTGATTTTGGTTCATTGTAGTCAACTTTTTAACCTCAGAAGGAGAAACAGAAGAGTATAAGGTGGCTGACAATAGTAGCTGTTAGGGAGAAGAGCAAACAATAAAAGGTGGAACAAGGGAAAATTGAGAGGAAGGGAGATGATTAAGGGAGAAAATTGCTATTACTAAGTTGCTTTACAATTCCATATGCACTCTCTTTGAAGGAAATCCTCTTTTAATGTCTTTGTATTATTCAAAATTTCACTAGCTCAGTGATTGGGGGGATAGTGTGTCTTTAAAGGGGATGTCAAATTGTTGATAGTTGTAGGCAGAACTGTTTCTGATTTTGTTTTCTGTATGTAGACGTTGCAGTTGTTACTTACTTTAGTAATATCTTCTCTTGATATAATTAATGTTTTCACAATTACATAATTACTATATTCTAAATGAACATTCTTCAATACAATGTTTAAGCTTTTACATTTTAGTTCCATATTTGTTTTTCTTTTGAATTGTTAGTCATCTTGCACATGACATAGGTAAAAGATCCTACAGTACATACAATTTTTGCTTTTTTCATTTTTGATTTAATCAATTTGCTTTTAAATGTTTATGGTAATGTTTAAGATTTTAAATTTTAATATTTTCGTTGGCCAATGGTACGTGTCATGTTGTTTCTATTTATATCACCCTTAGCTAATCCCGATATAAGCCTGATATTGCAAACCTTGGCTGCTTTGTGCTATTTAGAACCTAACATGCATGGGAGTGTGCAAGCCCATAGCATTGCTGATAGATGTGTCATAGAACTAGGGTGTTCGATAAATCTTATTGTTATGTTGCAAGCATGACCATCAAATGATATTATAAAAGAAATGAAAGGATGAAGGACGTAAAAGATCGAGGTGGGAAAGATGAGAGTTTGAAGTGAGGCAGATCTCTAAGCGGTGGAAGAGGATACCCATGATCCTAAAGAGAGTGGACAAAGGGTAAAAGAGTGTTGAGGAAAATGGAGGTTAGAAGTTGGATGAGTTACTTATAGAGAAAAGGATAATTGTGTTACAAAACCCCAAGTCAAAACATGTTTTAACACTTCCTAAAGACATGTTATGAAATATTACACTATAATAGAATCATACTTGGTAGGTTCTAAAGGAACGTTTAGAAGAATTCAGAAGGATAGATACATCATACATTTCACGATTTCTTCCTTCTACCGGATGATGTTGACACGCTCTTTTCTTGGTTGAATCTGGGCTGATTTGGATAGAGTAGAGCTTCGTGCATTACTTGGCGGGTCTTCTAGAATCTTCCTTCTCTCTCGAGAAATTTTGGGTTTTTTTTATATGCTGATTTTCTTTTGCCCTTGCTGATCCAGTTTGAATGACTGAACATAAATGAATGCAACAAAGCAAAATAAGATTTCTGTCCCTCGTTTAGGAAAATAATTGCCCTAGACTTTCTTTTCTAATCTGAACTTGGATAATATGATGGTTTCAATAAAATATCACTGAAAAACAACTTCAAAATGCAATACACATGCCAGTAACATTTTAAACTTGGACTTCAAGGCCCCTCAAAATATAATTCAAAACTAATTCTGACTCAATATAAGCTTAAAATTATGAACTCAAATTTGACTCAAAACAGCATCTGCGCTAAACAATTTACTAAAAAACCCAAATTGATGGTGACTCGGACCACGTTAAACCTGTCCATTTATGGTATTTGGATACCTACCAAAAATAACAAAATAGTCACTATAATAATTGCAGAAATAATAAAACTTTGAGTTACTAAATTTAATCTAACCACCCCAGAAAATCTTGATGTTATAATTGCAGCATATTGTGATTGATTGTTGCCAGACATTCTTGTCATCCTCTTCATAGTGTTGTTTAAAACGAAATTGAAAGTGAGTCAGAATTGTTGGCAATTAATTATTTTTTGTAGATTCTGATGAACCTCATCAACTACTGTGAAGTAGTTATCTTTTAAGAATTGGCAGTTATGTGGCACTTGGAAATTTTGATATATTAGCACCTTGAAAAGATTAGCTAATTTGGAAAAATTGACAAAATCCTAGTAGTTTTGGTAGAACAAGCTATTTGTTGGCTTAACGAAATATCACTACCTTCACAGTTCAGCTTGGCATAGTTGAATGCCTTACCGTCACAGTACAGTTTGACCGATGAGAATCCGACTGGCCTGCACAACAATCTTCAGTTCTTTTGATAGCTTAAGTTACTTTTGAAGTCCAACATGATCCATGGTATTTATGTTCTTGTTGTAGTTTAATGGTAAGTGAACTATGTGAAATAGTGTCTGAGATAGTTAATTATGCTTGTTCAATGTGATGGTTCATGAATTCTGCTCTAATGGTTTTTGCAATTGTCATGGCAGGTTTTCTATACCAGAAGTCAATGCAACTAGCAAAAAGTTTGAAGCTTCCTGCAAATTTTCTTGGCTGCCAATGTGAAGGGGACTGTACGAATCCTAGAACTTGTGCATGTGCCAGATTAAATGGATATGATTTCCCATATGTTCGAAGGGATGGTGGCAGGTGACAGTGTATTCTCATCCTGTCATAATATTGCAAAGAATTGAGATCATACTGGGTCTTAGTGCACATATGCATTTTATCTGGCTTCTTCAACCTCATTATCTGGATGTGATACCCAAGGATTTAAAAATCAGTCTGTTACAAGTTTTGAGAACCTACTGGACTAGTGTGGTACTGGTATACTAGATGGTATGTGCCGATCAGGGATTTAGATTGGAGTACAATTTTGGATTCGGCAGTCAGTTGAACCATTACAACGCTGACATACCATCAATATATTGACTTGTAGAATTGGTATCAATGGACCTCTATGGTCTTGTATCTGTCTTTGGTTAGACTGGTAAAGTTGGTATTCACCTAGTATGACCAATATTCAAAACCTCGGTACCGGTATTGGGATGCATTTCTATACAATACTTGATTAGACCATAGGTACTGGTTAGTATGTACTCTGATCTGACTGAAATTTAAAATCTTGGTGACAGTAATAATATTGTGCGCTCCGAACCAGGATGCATTTCTATACAAGATTAGACCATAGGTACTGGTTAGAACGTACTCTGATCTGACTGAAATTTAAAATCTTGGTGACAGTAATGTTAATGTCGGCTTAATATAATTGTTGTACTAATTTTGGATTTGATTAGATAATATGTTATTTAATAGATTCATTCTAGAAGTAAAAAAAAAAGATTGTGGAGAAAAAATGGACTTAAATTGAAGAACAAAGAGGACTAGATGTTGTGCTCCTATTCTCCCAACTGCAAACTGGAATTGGGGCATTTTTTTCTTTTTTTTGAAATTGGAGCTTCTAATTGAATACCAACTTTGACGAATGTGTTATGAAAAATTGCAGAAGCCTAAGACTAAAGCATCTGCCTGTAACTTTTTGTTTATGTTTATCATGTCACCATAAAATGATTAGGGTAAGAGGCACTTGTGCTTATACATTGCAGCCCATTGTAAAGGATCTAAATCATTAATATCTATATTAATTCTTTGGACATAGGAACTCCAAGATTGCCAAAATCAGTGTATCATGATTTATTTATATTATTGATAAAATCAAATTGCTACTATATGTTAAATTGCTTATTTCTTTCATATATGTGATGTATTGGCTGGTATAAGGCCTCAAGTTGTTGGACAAGACAAATGATGTTAAAAATCCTGGAAGTACAAAACATATTCTTTTAAAACATTTTCAGCATGCATCAAGGTGATGGAATTATCTCTAATGAGATGGACAATGTTCTTTTTTTTTGTTTAGTATATTAGTACAAATACATGCATGCATGCCTTTGAAATTATTTAGATTGAAATTAGTTATTAAGGGTACTAGTTGAAATATTCCAAATTCTACATTTATGCATGAACGTTTTTTACACTTCATTTGGTGTTGGTTTGATGGTGACATAAGGCACCTAAGTCAGATAAATTATTGTCAGAGATTGTCTGTGGTTGACTGTGCTCAATGGAGTTGATCTTCAATTAAATCCTCCATTATTGATTTTGAGGTCCATGATGGAGGCCTTGGCCCATTTGAGAGAATTCTGGCTCAACTCTCTTTATACACATATCTATTTGTGGGTGTATGTGCATGGAACTAAGAGCGGCATGAGCCGCTGCTAGAGAAGGATATTTTGGTAACAGATGAAATGGAATGGAGATTTTTTAGTCCGTCTAGGGCCTTTTGTTGAGGAATCCAAAAATTGATATCGTATCAAGTTCAAGGTCTTAAACTGGGTATGCCTACCCGAAATCATATCGGACATAACATCTGTTTCTGGATCCAAAAGAGGATCCTTTAGGCTAATCTTAATACTTCTTCCCCTTGTTTCTTCACTCCTCTCTCACTTTAAACCCATTTTCCCCCTATTCTTCACCAAACACTCTTAATCTCACTCGCGAAACTTGATTTCTCTCAAATATGAGGCTAATCTCAAGCAATTGAAGGTTCATTTTCTGGAAATCATCTTGTTAGTGTGAAGCAAGTTTGATATAATTAGTCTTAGAGTTACAATTAGTGTTAAGTAAGTTTGATATAGTTATAAGCTGATTCCAAGGATTAATCTTAAGTGCTTATCTTTTGATGTTAATAATGGTTTGAAATTACAAGCCCTGTATTGGATAGACTTTCATGGTGTAAGTTGTTTGATGAAGACATTATTGTAACTAATGGAGATCTGTTTGTACTAATTCTCAATTTGAGCTACATGACATGCCAGACACTGGTTTTAGACTAAGTAGGAACAAGGTTGAATATGCAGGGTGCAGCTTTAGCAATGCCAAGCTAGCAAATACCTCTAAGATGATGAGAAATTTGCAGGAGTAAAAATTTAAGTATCATGGATATTGTTAATAGGGCTAAAGCGATATGATTGGAGAGGAGCATCACGAGTTTTTTAGATTGTCATATGCTTCCTACATTAATGTCAACCACTCTTTACAGGTTAGAATGTTTGTGTTTAAAAAATAAATTGAGATAGGAGCGTACGAATGCTTCATTGCATATATTTGTCTCATTGAAAATTTATCTGCATGTTATTGTCTCATTCAATCACAGTCATACTGTCACATATGCAGGTCAGTACTCTTAAGCAAGTGGGGAAGTTCTAAACTGGGCTTTAGGAATTTCTAGATTACCTAGATTTATGTTGATGGATTGGTAAGATCCCACTTGTTGAGTTTTTGCTCTGAAAAATGCACTTAAAATCAAGAAAAAAAATTAGGTGAAAATTATGAAAATAGTGAAAAATCAAACTAAGAAAATTAGGGACCAAAACAAGAATATCTTGGTCTAAGGAGCATTATTTGTGGTGTATATTACATAGATTATATGGGTATGTGTGTCCATATATGAGTTATAAGTAGGGATGATAAGTTATGACTGAAAAAAACATAAACTGGGATTTAAATGGCACTCCATGCTGTTCAAAGATTGTGATACATTCCAATCCAATAGGATATAGATTATAATAGTATTTGTGTATATACATACATATGAGTTATAAGTAGGGATGATAAGTTATGAGTGAATAAAACATAAACTGGGTTTTAAATGGCACTCCTCTCTGTTGAAGGATTATGATGCATTCCAATCCAATAGGAGTCAAGCTTTAGTTCTAAATTGGTTTTATCAACTTTTGATTATATATCTTTTTGTCAGTAAACTTTTGACAACTTTCTCCGTTTTATATGTAGTAGAGTTTTGTTAAAACAAACAAGGTTGAATCTTATCCTATCCATGGTATTAGATTGTTTTGTCCATTTTTTGATATAAGAATTGCTACTTTTATTAAAAAAATTATGATCTCATACTGTAAATATTTCAGGTATGTAATCTTTATTTGTAAACTATCTTAGACATTTTAAGGGACTGAAGGGAATATGTTTAACAAGATCTTTTTAATTATAGAATTACATCAAGGTTTATTTGTAAGTTCTTAGCAGGGTTTGCCTTTTTGGGTATCGGACCCGTTTCTGCAATTTGTTGGAACGATATGTATTGGTCTGTATCGATGCACTGACACATGGTGCATCGGTGTGTACCGGTGTTTTGACGAGGAAGAAAAAGTGGGTGAAGAGGAAGGGGTGGTGGAGGAACAACAGAGGAAGGAGAAAGGAAGAAGAAGAAAGAAGAGAAGTGCAGCATCAGTGTCCCTGGGAAGCAATGGCGGCGTTGAAGCAGAAGCGGCAATGGCAGCATCACAACAGTGAAGAGGCAGCGTTGCTGCAGCATCTCAGCAGTGAAGAGGCAACGGTGAGGGCTGCGGCATCGTATGCGAGAAGAGGGCTCATGTTCACAAGCCTAATTTGCCTTTTTTTTCTTTTTTAACGCTGAAATGGATTGGGGCTCATCACTTTTTGGTTTTTTTACTATTTTAATCAAACCACTTGAAACAGGGGTGGTCTGGATATTGGTCCATGCTTGGACCAGTATGTACTGTCCGTACGGTATCGTTTTAGGTGGTACAACAATCATGGTATCGTTATGAGTGTCCAATGAGTGCCTAGCACCTCACGCATTTTGACACTTAGCACCTTTGGCTACATTGGGTTGTAGATTTTAGCCTCCATGTCACACAAATACCTACACGTGGGTAGAGTACAAATGAATTTACTACATCTCATCTATTAACTTAATCTTATAGATGAATTGAATTGTGTTAAAATTTGACAAATATGCACAAATTAATTTATGGTTTTTACTCGTGCTGCATTTGGTCTAGACTCTGATATCATTTATGCTAAAGTTGAAGTCTTTGGGCTACTTAATCTTCCCACAGTTTATACTCTTTGATATTAACTATTACATTCTAACCATTATTTGTGTGCTTTCTTGTCCTCAAATTCTTGTAGTGCTGTTCCATCTAAATTCTGCAGTATTGTATCCCCTACTTTAGTCTAAAATAGTTTTATAATATGTTTAGTGGAACTAAAAATTTGTTTTTTTTTCCTGTAGGCTTATTGAGGCTAAGGCTGTTGTTTTTGAATGTGGTCCAAATTGTAGATGCAGCCTTAGTTGTGTCAACAGAATATCTCAACAGGGACTAAAGTATCATTTAGAGGTGATGCTTAATTCATAAATGCCTTCGTCTCGTCTCAATATTTGTTATTTCAAAGCTTATCAGACTTTGTTCTTGTTGCTTGCGTCATATTACAGGTGTTCCGCACGCCAAAGAAAGGCTGGGGTGTTCGATCCTGGGATACTATTCCTTCTGGTGCTCCTATATGTGAATATACTGGGATTCTTACAAAGACAGATGAGATTGACAACGTAGAGGAGAACAACTATATTTTTGAAATTGACTGCCTGCAAACGATGAAGGGCCTTGATGGTCGAGAGGTGCTTATTGCAAAATGAGCAGTTTTACTTCAGTGAAAGTCTATTTTATTACAGAATCTTATACAAAATTGCTTGCCTGGGTAGCTTAATCTTAAAACTTTTGTTGAGTATCTGCACACAAAGATACTCTTGAATACTTATTCACTTATTCATGTCTCATAACAAATCTGTGGCAGCTGGAATAGATTAAACACAATACACTGTCATTAGTACATGACAATCATGATTGCTTTTGACAATGGGTTTTAAAGAAGAAAAATAGTAACAACATTGCACATGAAGAATGTGAATCATTGTTGGATCCTGCACCTGAAGTTTCCAACATAATATTATACAAGATATTTTGGAACATGAAACACTTGTGTACCTGCAGTCATGCATGAAAATCTTTTTCAACAAAAGAAGCTGCTTTGCTAGATGCTGATACTTTGTTTCTAAATAGACTTTCCTGGTCTTTCACATAAAATTTCCTAGTCTTTCTTTCTAAAAGGACTTTTAAGAGGTCACCTTTGTTAAAATATAATTAGCATTTTTTGTTACAGCTTCTCCATGAGATCAAGTTTCAAAATCATGTTAGAAAGCTCATATCCATATTCTTTATAGTCCTCTACTGTACTCGTGTAGTTTGCTTGTTAACATGCCACTAATTAATAATAAACATTATTTTTTACTCAACTGGATATTGACTGTTGCTCGTGCAAGATCCTTAGTCCAAACATCATGCAAACTTATACAGATGTCTTTTTGTGTTATGATTTACATAGTAGTTGGAATATTTCTCTTTTTGTTCTTAATTTTTAGGAATATTGAAGAAAAAATATAAGTGCCACAATAGATTGTGTTGTAATAATTTCTTTAAAGTTGCATATCAGAATCTAGTCAATGCCCTATAATTAATTCTTTGTACACAATATCCCAAATGAATACTCCAAAGTTAACTTTCTCTAAAAATATTATAAATCTTGAAGTTAATGATAGTGATTAAGCGTCAAGAGGTATCTTCTTTGGCAATTAGTGATACTGCCCTAGAAGGAAAACAAGTTTTTCTAACATTTAGTTTTAAGTGTTTCTAGCCTTTGCTTATTTTGATGAAAGTTTTGGTAATTATTTTGTACTTGCATTAGTATCTTTGACTTGGTAGGGTTGCTTCAATTACAAGTAGGACAATTTATTTGGCCTTGTCAATATTGCTTTTTGTCTTTGGCAACTTTTGTATGTACTTCGAATAAACTTTTAGTTGGGCAACATGAAACATGAGATCCATTATCACATTGGTCGATTGTAACTAATATGTTGGCTTACTTCCTGAGTAAGGCTACAATCATGTCATCGATAAATGTTTGTCACCAGAACAAATAATATGTTTTTATTTTTTGCATGCAACACCGATTTACAAGCTCTATTGCTATCTTTTTGTCCCACGAATATCCTTATTTTAGCTAGTGCCATAATTTCTTTGCAAGAGGAATTTAGTTATCCTAACTTGATGTATTTGATAGAGGCGGCCTGGAGATGTGTCTTTGCTCATCAACCTTGATGACAAGAAGTCAGAAGTGGCAGAGTATTGCATCGATGCAGGCTCAGTTGGCAATGTTGCAAGATTCATTAACCACAGTTGCCAACCAAATCTCTTTGTCCAATGTATTTTGAGCTCTCATCATGATATAAAAATGGCCAAAGTAATGTTGTTTGCTGCAGATACTATACCTCCTTTGCAGGTGATTCCCTCTTCATACTTTCCATTATTTTTTTACATTGTGTTTCACTGTGTACTTTAGTTGACATGGCTATAGATGTGTGCTTCTATGATCTTGTCTTGTTAAACTAGGTGTCTCACTGTATACTTTGATGCTGGTATTCCTGCGAACTACCATTTTGCACAATAAAGGTCTATTTTTAACTATAATCCAAATTATGGTAATAGTAAAAAGTTTAAAACAAGTAGAAAATGGAAGTTGCTACTGATTTCCAGTTGCCACACAGAATTTCTAGCAGCTGACCCTCCCCAGATCCTGCGTCGGCAGAAGCATGTTTCACTGGAAGCCCGTCAAAATATTTTCCTTGACTCTATTTTTTTATCAATTTGGATTTAGAATAAAAATATATTCAAAACATCTTCAACACCAAGAACTGATGCCACTTTATGGAGGTGATCCTCTAAGAATATCTTGATGAATTGAATTCTACATACATTCTTTGTTCATAATTTTGCCACCAGGGAAGGTCAGCGTGCATCCACTCGGTTGCCAATGCTGGTTCAGAATATAATTACCAGGAACGAAGCACGCTCCATTTCATGGTGTGGTTGTGGGACTGAGATATGCCACTTATCTTGGTTTGTAGTAAATTAAGGCTAGCATTAGCTGGGTTGTTCTCTGGATTTTCTTAGTTCTTGAAACTTCTTTATGGGTAGTCTATCGGATAGTGTAAGTTATTTTGGCCTTACAACGTCATAGTTCTCTCTAATTAGACAAATACCAATGATGTTAGATAGTTAAGCTTTTAACTTGATGACGCTTGCTATCATTTGGTGCTAATATTATTTTGATCTTTTGCTATTGATCTTGGAACTATAAAGCTGATTGGTATTTATTAGATTGGATTTTTAATCTCGATAATTAAAGTCACATGCTGTCATGATTTGGATATGATAATATTTTTCTTTCTGACATACATAATAAGTTATAGAAATGCATAGTCAAATTAGTGCCTTTTAGATACACAAATTTGAAAAAAAAACATCAGAAGTGCAACTTAGTGGTTCTATCTTGTATTAAAAGAGTCTTCTTATTGCTGATTTGATTTGTGTCCTGCAGGAGCTCACATATGACTACGGCTATGCATTGGATAGTGTTGTAGGACCAGATGGAAGTGTCGTAAAATTGCCATGCCATTGTGGGGCGGTGGACTGTAGAAAATGGCTGTACTAAACGTTTGGGTGGACATTGGCCACAATGATGGTAACATGCCATTTAGATTTGTGCGGGGTGGTGCCCATCATTTCTTTTAGTAACGAATAAACTGCCTCTTTGGGTTTTCTGAGAGAGGGGGGGCTTTGTTCGTGAACTTACTGATTAGACCTTTTCCAGGCTGGTGATTGCGCTCTTTTGAGTTGAGGGAGGGCATTTAAGTGCTTTTATTATAAGATTTGAAGGAAAAAAAATGATCCTCATGCATTCTTATTCTTTTGTTCCCCTCCCCTCCAACTGTCTACTCTATTTCTATTATGCTTCTCCAGGGTGATTTCTTTTGTTCCCCTCCGAGTGTCTACTCTGATCTAAAAGCTCTTAGGTTCACAAAAGACCTAAATTAAAGAAAAAAAAAGAGCTCTGTTTACCAATTATAGATAATTGGTACTCGTAATCCATGCGTTCTTTTTCTCTGTACATAATTTTCTTTAGAACAGAAGAATCTCACGCTTTTGTGGAAAAGAGAAAGTGCAAAGAATTAATGTTTCCATAATTTTCTTCATATTTTGGTATGTGATGAGTTAGTTCTCTTTAGAAGTAGAAAAGGCCCTAATGCTTAATTCTGTTGTTGATAAGCAAACAAATTGATCCGAAATTATTAGTCAATCTAAGTTCCTAAATCGTTTGACAATATCAGTATTGTTTGACTTTTCCCTATCATTCAAAGTTTTGTATGCAGTCCATCACGTTATTTTGGGTTTTTAAGACATTGAACTATAAAAAACTCATTAAAAGTGCATTAAAAACAAAGATAAATGGACGTTCATTTTAGTCAACAAAAGCAAGGAATGATTGACATATATTATTATATGGTCAATCATGGAGGATTTAAAGCACATTTTAAATTTTAATTTAATTTGTGCCTTGTTAAGATGATTCCATCGTGTTTTGTTATTTGACTATTTGTCGGTCTTCTGTCCTTATTAAAGCGATTGGTGTTGAACAGAAAGTCAAGGCGCGTGTTGGTTGACTCACCGGCATCTGTTAGGTCGCCGTTAAAATGGCTGACGGCGTCAACGGAGGAGGAGGAGGAGATGGCGGCTCTGCTTCGCGGCCGCACCGGCTGCCGCGGTGGACGCGGCGCGAGATCATGGTGCTGGTAGAGGCGAAACGGGCTGCGGAGGGTAGAGGGAGGGGGGCCCGCGGGCCCCGATCGGCGGCGGGGGAGACGAAGTGGGAGTGGGTGTCGGCCTACTGCCGGCGGAAGGGGGTGGACCGAGGGATGTTGCAGTGCCGGAAGCGGTGGAGCAATCTGGCGTGCGACTTCAAAAAGGTACGGGCGTGGGAGGGCGGGGAAGGGGCGGCGGCCGGTGAGTCCTTCTGGGCTATGAGGAACGACTGCCGGAGGGACCGGCGGCTGCCTGGGTTCTTCGATAAGGAGGTCTTTGACATCCTTAACCGGACTGTGCTGAACGAGTTGGAGGCGGAGGAGGAGGAGGAGGAGGCGGAGGTCAAGGTTCGCGACGGTGGGGAGGGGGAAAACGAAAAAGAGGAAGACGAAGTGGAAGTGGAAGAGGAGGAGGCAGTCTTTGATAGCGGTCGGACTGCAGCGGATAATGGTTTGTTCTCCGATTGCGAGTACGAAAATGGGATGGGTGGGCAAGAGAGGCTGCCGCCGCCGATTGCGGTGACGCCAATATCTGGTAACTTGTTACTGGATCTAATTAGATCAAAGATTCAATCTTTCTGCAGCAAATAATTGGGGCTTATTACGTTTGGATTCAAGCCGTTGTTGAAAGATTAAACCTTTGTAACTGCATCTGTTTATGCTGTTGCTTGATTTGATTCTCGATAAACTGTTTTGGTTTTGGATGCAGAGAGGAAGTTCGAGCCATTTCAACAGGAATTTTCGGATCCAGGTATGTTATTGTTTTGCACTTTCAATTGGAGACTCTTTGCGTTTGATACTTGTGTCTTTGGTATCCAATTCTGACTTGAAAACTACAGAAGTATAACATGGAATAGCTTCTTGATCATGGTTCACTGATGGAATCAAATAGTTCTTATTTGATTTACACCTGATGCACACTGTGATTTCTTTATGTCACAGTTACCTTTATGCAAGAATGATGCACAGTGGTTATGAAAGCCACTATGATGGTGAACGCTGTACCAAAAATGGTACAGTGTTTATCCTTGGCAAGAAAGTATGTTTTTTTCCTTTTTCGTTAGATATTTTCCTATTAAAAAATCTCCTATGATGGTAGTTTTCATGGATGATGCAAACTTTTGTGTGAACCTTCAAATTGGAGCTGTGTCCAAGGTTCTAAAAAGGAAAGCTAAACTTTGATAAGATTGCTCCTCTGAAGTTGAACGGCCAGTCTGACCAAAATACATGATTAAATGACGGGTTATTGTTATGTGATTTTGGATATGGTCTTGTTGATCGACAGGGTAAAGTGGCTTTAGCTAATAATCAAATCTTAATATTTTCATTTGTATAGTGTAAATGACAAATTGATCCTGGAAACTAGTTTTGTGTATTACATGGTTAAAAGAAGCAGCTTAACTTCTACTGACACAACTAACTGGGTTAACTTCCTATTTCTTGTTTGGTTTTTAACACATTGTTGTTTGATAATATTAGATGGGTTGTTCGAGTTTAAGATAACTAAAAGAGAGAACATGTCGAGAAAGACAAGGGTAGTTATAGAACTAGGAAAGAATGGATTAATTTGTTCCTCTTCATCGTATAGTTCATGTGATCCCATATCAACTGGGCTAAATCTTGCTGACTAGATTAATCTGTTCCATCTTAGTACCATTCGTTTTTGTAGGATACAGCCATCCTTAGACTGAAACAAATGCTACCTTAAGTAGCGGCTAAGCTGGATCTGGATGGCTTTATGTGCAGTGAATTTCAATGATCATAAACTCTCTTTTCCTTGAGAAGATAATTCCAGCATTTGCTTGTTTATGGCTTTTGGCTATCTTCAGGATGTAAAATGTTGGATGTTGTTTATAAAACTTATTTTGGCAATAAATAATGAAAGCATATACCAGCTTTCCTTGATAGAATTAACTATTTCTGGTTAGTTATAGGAATCTTGTCGAATCATTCATCAATTGGGAGCAATGACAGTCGTTTACTGTTGAATCTAAAAGTCATCTTAGGTCTTCCTTTATATCTTATTAATTCGATTGATTTGCTTTGTTTAACAGATGTATTTCAAAGTCTCACTTGGATATGTCCAAATCACCTCGAAAGTTTCTCTTATTTCAACCTCAGTTGAACCCTAATTATTTATAAATGCAATTATTTATATTATTTTTTTTCTTGTAGTCACACACATCCATTTTATCATCCATTTAATCACCTCGAAAGTTTCTCTTATTTTTTTTTTTGTAGTCACACACATCTTAGCAACACTAATTATTTTGATATGTTTGTTTCTTTCTAGACTACTGAGCATTCTCCATAAGCATTTCAATTTAATGTATCTTGGTTTATGATTGATTAAGGAATCAATCATGAACGGGGAATGAATGTAATGAATACAGTTTGCACATATGGCACAGATCTATATAAGAAGATTGATGTTAAAGAAGAATCGAGTAAGCTGATTAACCAAGAATCTTGGAAATTATTGCTGTGAAATTTAACGATCATGCATGATCTCTTGTTTTATATCATCGAATGACCAATAATTTTAAGACTTAAGTGATACAAAAAGACCAGAGGTAAAGGAATTCTTTTGCTTAAGCATGTGAAAAATTTACATTTTATAAATTCATTTTTGTGAATTATTGACATAATGTAAGTACTTAGGTGCCCTTGTCTTTATCACAAGGGATAATGGAGTTGGATCCAAATATTTTAATAAATCCCACAAGTTAGAAATGTTTGTTCTCCTTATCTTTATGTTCCTTTGCCACTTTCCTGTGTGATTAAAGCGTTTACCACTTTGTAAAGAACTTTAACTGATGGTTATGGTACAATTTAATTGAGGAATTTGCAATGCATATGGCACATCGAGATGCTGGGCTTTCATGCACTGATGCCACATCCGTACATGATAAGGAGTCCGTATGTTAAATGCCAACCCCTTATAAGGCCAACAATCTCGCCATAGCGACATAAAGGGCTCGCGCCTATAGCTTCACTTTGAAGCTGCTCAGAACGACTCTGAAAGTTATAGCTGATGCTGATGATGAAACTCAATCTTTCAGTGATGGTAGCATACAGTCTGCTTCTCCTGTTTGTAGGTGGGCTGATGGGCTCTCAAGTGCCAATGCCATGCCCATATGTGATGGCAAGCACATAGGATGATCTTTAGCCCCCCTGAAAGGCCCACATTTTTAAGTGCATAGGCCTTCTTCTATCATATACACTGGTATATTGATCTATTGCTTCTTATTGTTTGAGTACATAACAAATCTGTAACCTAGGGTGATGTGAAGGAGATGCAAAGGAAACTGTTAATTGCTCTAGGATTTTGTCTATGTTCAGTTTGTTTGTGAAAGATTTACCTATCCTTATCATTCAAGATGATGGATGTGCTGCCTTGTCATATGTTAGACATCTCATATGATTTCATCTAATGATAGGCCATGACATTTCGTTTGGGATTTAATTAATCACCTCAGTGAACTGCTAGCCGGGAACAAAATGACACGCATAGTCCCCTAACACCAGAAGTCCTCAGTCTATTAACTATTAAGAATATATCAGCAAGTCATTATTGATGTATTCTGATGGATTTTGTAGATCAGTCTGTAATGTGTACAAGAACTCTTTAGGACTTTGGTTGTAAAAGAAAATTGTTTATGGGTTTAATCATCAGATATGATACTTCTGCAACTATAATTACCTTTTTTACTTATAACTTAATATGAGTCTTTTCATCTTTTGCCTCGAGACTGTCTAACCTAACTTGCTTGAGCCATGAAACCAAGCACCAATTCTTTTGTTCTGAAATGAAAGTGGTAGCCAATGTATGGCATATAGGTTTATCTGTAAGAATTGCAGTCATCCACTTTGGCGGATTGTGATTATGTATCATTTACAATGGCTCCATGCTAAACATTAGAATCAGCTTATTACCTTATACCACTGTATGTTCAAATTTATGTTTGCAGGGATCATCAACGACAGACAACCAGCTAATGACCATGAGACACAATCATCACAAGGACTGAAGCGGCGGCGCATTTCACCAGAAGAAGGAAGTAGCAATTTCGACAACCAACTGATCAAAATCATAGAGAGAAACAACAAGATGATCGTGTCACACTTCAATGCTCAAAATGCCAACTTACAGCTGGAGAGGGATCAAAGGAGGGAGCAAGCTAATAGTCTTCTTGATGTTCTTAACAAACTTGTCGATGCTGTTGGAAGAATTGCAGATAAACTATAAACTTCTGAGATGATTGATGAATGGAGCACATAGGACGTCGACAATCCATTGTGTTTTGCAAATTTGAGCAGCAACAACAAATTAGACATTGTAGGAACACCATTTCTTTATTGATTCTGGGTGGTGGTGTATTGTTGGTAGGTTTCTAATTGGCAAAGGTGGATAAGAGACATTTTAGAGATGAATTAATAATGATTGTAAGTGTTGAAAATAGACAGGGTTTAGCTGATCAATTGATCAATAAATCCTGTTGTGGGCTGGTTTCAATTCCTTCTCCTGTAATGATCAACTTTGAACTTTCTTCTCTTTTACTGAAAGCATGCAGATGTACATGTGCAATTATGATCAGTTAGCTGATTTCTATTTGCACAAAAGAAAAACACAACAGTGAAGACTTTTTATGCTTGTGTTGTTTTGACCATAAGGGTGGCGATCAATGTGTAGATTTCAATGCACCATTTTTGACATCATCTCACAACATTGTGGCATTATGGCATTAGAGAAGTCATATGAATATTATTTTAATTAAAAAAAAATCGATAGTCATAAATTTGATAAACATGAAAAGTTTTAACAATTTTTGATGCACGATTTCGAGGGGGAAAAAAAAAAAAACTTAGCATAGTATTGTCAAACTAGAGAAGTCGTTTAAACTTTAATTCATAAAAAAAATATATAACGATCATCACCAAAATAACTTAGCATAACATTATCCTACTGACCACATTGGTATTGGAGGATAATGAATTGGTTCTCAAGTTGAGGTCTCTACTGACCACAGACGATGAAGGGGTAACCATGCTTGCATGTCAGAGTGGCTGGTGGGAGGCCTCGCATGCTGTGCTGCTCTTCAGAAACTTGAAATAGAACAGATTGGCCCAAGATCAAAACATCTTACGAATTGTTTTACATCGGCGACGATGAAGGCAATTATATAAGCTGCATCAAATCATTCTTGGACCTTCGACACAAACCAAGTCGACGATGATGAAGACGAAAGCAAACATGTTGTTCGAGGTAAATTACTATTCATGCTTTGTGTTTTTCTGGCATTGGGAATCGAGTCATATCTCCCTCCAGGTTCTTGAGCCTTCAGAGAGTCAGTCCGGTGGCGTATCGATCATATGAGACAAGAAGTGAACGTCTTGATAGTCTTGCGTTACATGCATTAGCGATGTGCTTTATTCTTATTACTTACCAACTACACTGGTGGTGTTGAGATCAGGGTCTGCAGTATCGAACTGTACCGTTCGGTTTGGGTGGTACGTACCGATCCGACAGATTATCGATATACGGATCGGTCCGAGAGTACTGTAACACTGTAGCACTGAGTATATCGCTCGGCACACCTGGGTGTACCGTTCGATATACCGTATCGTATCGGTACCGAGTTCAAATCAAAACACCGGTACGATATGATATTACGAACCTTGATTGAGATTACGAGACACACGAGTTTTCTAGACAGCTTGGTGGGTAATGTAAATGCTCATCATTGTTGCACGCAAGGGAAAGACCAACAACATGTACTAATGACCGAATGGACTTTTCTCTGCGGTGCATCTGATGCTTGTGTATGACCTGTCGCTAACTCGAGGTACGATCGGACCCAATTCGGTCCCAGAATTGGAAATTTCCAACCCAGACCCGTCCTCCCATTCTTATCCGTTACGTTGGCGTTTAAAGCGACGGGTGCTGTGGCCCAAATGGACGGCTGAGATTTGAGTTGGGGATTGTGGACGTTTGAGATGGGCGAGAGAAGTGAGAATTGGAGAGGATCCTGAACCCCAAAGTCCTGCCGACTTGAGACGGGGACATGAACAATTCCCTGTCCGTGGCAAACCGACTCCGGTGTGGATTGGATCCAAATTCTTTTCTAATCGAATCCTTACAATTCAGGATCATAGCCGTCTATTCGCGTGGACCATCCGCGCCCAAACCCCCTCTCTCTCTCACACACACACACACACCCCCCCCCCCCCCCCCCCCATATGATGCTTGCTATAAGCAACCAATAATTGTCTCCTCAAGTCTCGTGATCCCTCAAGTCTCATCTCCTCACTCCGTAGCTCCATATGCATAGGGAGAGATAGAGCTGTGCTGGCCATGGCGATCGCCGCTTCTTCCTCTCTTCTCCTCCTTCATCACCTGCTCCTTGTTTTGGCCTCGTGGTGGCGTCTTGCGGACGCCGCTTACATCGCCTACAACACGTCGGGGGGCGTCGTCCTCGGGAAGCTCAACGTACACCTCGTGCCTCACAGTCACGACGATGTCGGCTGGCTCAAGACCATCGACCAGTATTACGTCGGCTCCAACAACTCCATCCAGGTCAGTTCTCATCGCTGACACTTCACCTACCAGTTTCTGGTCTCGAGGTTGATTGACCCTTGATTGGGTTTTTTGCTTGGTGGATTTCGTTTGGGGGAAAACAGGGAGCTTGCATCCAGAATGTGTTGGATTCGGTGGTCGAGGCGCTTCTGGCCGACAAGAGTCGCAAGTTCATTTTCGTTGAGATGGTCTTTCTGGATTCCTGCTCTGTTATTATCTTATTACGTTTCAGTTTGGTTCAAAGTTCTGTTTTTGAGGTTAATTTATGGCTGTTGTTCGTTTTTTTCCTTTTTTTGGGAATCCTTGACTGGATTTTGGATGTTCGGCATAGGCATTCTTTATCCGATGGTGGAGACAGCAGAGCGATAAGACGAAGAAGTTGGTGAAGAAGCTGGTCAACTCGGGACAGTTGGAGTTCATGTAATCTCTGCTGCTTCAACGTTTGTTGCCTTAATATCTCTTTAGTCCAATTCCTGGTTACAATGATTAGCGTTGCCATTTCATGGTTGAGTTTAGTACATTCTTCTACTGTTATACAGGTCTACTGTTGTAACTACTGAGTAAATACAAAAATTTGTGGAATCTCAAGGATTTCTTCATTCTGCTTCATGTCTAATTCTTCATTTTCCTTGTGGACTTTTTGATTCTGAAGAAATGGAGGTTGGTGCATGCATGATGAAGCAGTCGTCCACTACATCGACATGATTGATCAGACCACACTTGGACATCGGTTTCTGAAACAAGAGTTTGATCAGCTTCCACGGATTGGTTGGCAGATAGATCCTTTTGGACATTCCGCTGTACAAGCATATTTACTTGGAGCAGAGGTACATGCTTCAAGCTATTCTGATACACAACTTGAAGAGTTCCAACAAACCCTGACTGAAGAGTTCCAATATTTAATTTTCTGATACACAACTTGAAGTGGATTAAAAATAGCAGAAATCTTGCTTCCAATTGGAAATACAAGATTATTTCTTTTGACCCAGTTCTTTCATTTATTTCATATCAAGCTACTGTAATACCTTTTAAATAGATTCCACTAGTTTTACATGTCTATCAATTCAGACTAAATGAATTTTTTTGTATTTTTGATACAAATTATACCTATTTGCAGCTTGGATTCGATGCTCTTTATTTTTCACGCATTGATTACCAAGACCGAGAAAAAAGGAAGGATACTAAGAGCCTTGAGGTTGTGTGGCGGGGTTCCAAAACTCTTGGTTCATCTGTGGATGTAAGTTCTTGGGACTCACATCTTTTAAGATGCAATGCATAGTTAAATATTCTCTTCCTTCAATCGTGTTTAATATGAATGATCTAATTAATGCAAACCTCCATTCAGATATTCACTGGCATATTCCCAAAGAACTATGAACCTCCTCCAGGTGGCTTTTACTTTGAAGTTAATGATGAGTCACCTGTTATTCAGGTCAGTCCGTGGATAATGCTATAGAATATTATTTACTCATGGAGAAATTTACTGTGATCATCGTATATGGTGGAAGGATGATCCCCTTTTATTTGATTACAATGTTCAAGAGCGAGTAGATGATTTTGTGGCTGCAGCTTTATCCCAGGTATTTTGTTCTTCTCTAATAAATTTTCAGTTGCTACTTACTTTCTAAATCTTTTTCACCAGAAATTCAGCAAAATGCTTAGTTAACCTACCACCCAAATGTTAACTGTATCTTCTTTCTTTTCATTTACTTTTCTTTCCTTTGGGATATAAATCTAGGAATTTTTATGGCCATAAAAGGTGCTTATTCTGAGAAATTGGTGCGAATACTATACTATTTCATAAATGTTGAATTGTCTCCTGAAGTCAAAATAACTTTTATTTTCAGGTTAACTCTTGATAATTGGACATTCAAAATTCAAATAGCCATTATTTTCATCAGCAAAAAAATTTCTTTTTATCTGACTTCTTTTGCTTATAGATGAAAAATTAGACCTAGAATACTGCACATCGGGCCCATAGGTTAGAACTGCAATAACTAATCAAATTTCTTTTTCAGGCCAACATTACTAGAACAGATCACATCATGTTTACCATGGGGACTGATTTCAAATATCAGTATGCAAATTCATGGTTCAGACAGATGGATAAATTCATTCATTATGTCAACAAGGTAATACTTTTTCCAGAAAAGGCAATTTAGGTAGTCTGATGAGATTCAGCATGTGTATCATTCCTTATTTATATTTATTTAAATAGGACAGCTATAGTTTTTGATGCATTACTATCTTGCTTAGCTTTTTTATGATACTTTTGTCAGTAAAAGACCATTTGCATGTCTCTGAAGCACTAACCCATTTCTGTTATGGAATATCTTCTCTTTAAAATGCATTAACATGCGAGAATCTGCAGAGTTTATTTATTTATTCTTATTCTCATTGAATGTTCCCAAAATGTTTTGACTACTCCATAAAAGAAACCTGCACTGCAGTTTTTCTTTTTCTTCTTAACATGAATTTACAGAGATTCCATCTATGTTTAATCTTATGCCCAAGCAAACATCGAATATCATATTACTAAAAAGTATAGCCTTTGAGGTCCATAAACTTTCAAGACATCCCATTTGTCCTATACGAATCTAAGCACATAAAAATTGTTTTTACTCAAGTAATTGTTACAATTTAAGAAAGAAATAAAGATTGAAGATTACAAATTGGAATTTATGTTGATTTTTGCAAGATATACTACTTCCCCTTTTATCTGAACTGTAGTTTCCCTCTGGTTTAGGACGGCCGTGTTAATGCCTTGTATTCAACCCCGTCCATTTACACAAATGCAAAACATGCAGCAAATGAATCTTGGCCACTGAAGACTGATGATTTCTTCCCGTGAGTGAAGAATAAAATTTCTACAGATCATTAAAATTTCTAATGCAATATCATCTAATATTTCCAATCTCAACTGTTAGATATGCCGACCGTGCAAATGCATATTGGACAGGGTACTTCACAAGTAGGCCTGCCTTAAAAGGTTATGTAAGATTATTGAGTTCTTACTATGT